CTTCTAACATCGTCCCCGTCAGTCCCGTGAGCGGTGCTGAATTCTGTCAAATGGTCCTGTGAAAAGTCTCCTTCTTCGTTTCTCCTCGATCTCATGATCACCCTAACTGAGGCTCGAGATCGTTTACTTCGATACTGGCATCTCTGTCGAAAGGCAGTTAGCTCTGTATGTATATCATAGAAGAATGTGATACTTCGTGTACTTGAAGAATCCCGCCAGCGGCCCTTCATATCGTGCGCAGGTTTTTGAAAACCCATCGGCCACCAGACTCTGAAACGTGTTTCAATTCTTCCTGCCAGTCTGCCGCCAACGCGCTCGCGCAGATCCCCCGGCGCGCGCTGATTGCCGCCCTCAAAACGGACGCCACTGCAACGGACGCTTTCAAAGCGGCGCAGCCGTCAAGCAATGGCGAAACGACGCTTCTCAAGCTGGATCCCACGGTCTGCGTGCCCGGCATAGACTTGAGCACCAAGGAATAGGGACGCGAAGTTCCTGAAATAGGTTTTTGTAAACGTCCGATTGATCATGTGCACGTACAGAGTTAATGATACTGTTCAATTTCAGCTCCTGTATCCAGGCCTTATCCCGTCTACCTCGGCGCGTGTCATTCTTTTGATGGAATATTTGGCAGGCCTTTATGGATTAATCAAGAGAGTGCTGTATGTATACTGATCAAGAATACGGAAGATTTTGTCCGACCCTTACTAGTCGTGATCAAAGATCGAAAACTTCATGCAGTCATTTCTCCAATCAATCCAGCCCTACGTTTGATCCTTATATGCATCTAGATATGGTGATATGGTACGTAGCGTGGTAGACATGACATCATGAACCATCAAGGCAACTTTTTCTGCTGCTAACTTAAGCCACAAATCCCTAAACAATCGTACTATCTCCGAAGAAGTTGACGTTGGAAGATTTCGCGCCACCGAAGTGAAGGGGGTTGTCGGAGGCGCCTGAGAATAGGCGAAATCATTAAATAGTGTCCTGGAAAAGTCTTCGCGCTAAAGAGCCAAGTTGAAAGCCCGCTTATAGTATATGATCGTACGTTGATTGAAGCTTGATGCGTTTAAGGGACGTACGGTAGCTATAGTGCATGCACATGTGGCATCATTGAAATTATTATCGCCATGCAGGTTACATCGTGCCATTGACCAACTAGTGAAATAATTATACTAACGAGTCGCATCGCGATCGTTAATTGCACGACCGTCCGCCTATCACCTCCAACTTATTGATCGTCGACGATGCCGCGCGCTAAATGGGATGTCATATGAAAGTACAAAAGGGCGGAGTAGAGTCGAACCCAAGTAGAACGCGTACGACCAACAAGCTGCCCGCATAACGTGCCAGTGACGTTTCTAAGTACATGATCAATCGTATAGAAACTAGGCATCATGAGTGAAGACGCGCTAAGCGGCCAAGCGCACAGGAGCCAGGCGCTGATCTAAGGAGGCTAGGTGACATACTTGCTTTTCGTGTGTTTGGTATTCAACCATGCGGCGGGCTTTGAATTGAGCAACCACTCAAGAAGCAACGCATGTTGACTTGATTGCGGTGTTGCTGACGTCGACCCTCAGACGACTCCATGATTGCTCCAGTGCCGCTTCAAGAGCACACCCAAACCGGGAAGCTCTTGCAGAGTATAGAATGAATGATGCTTGAAGCTGGTCGAGACGAGCCTTATTGAACGCCAACATCGAAGACTGATTTACGGGAAAATGGTAACCTTAACCTGGCTTTCTATCGTAATCGTCTTCTGCTATGCTTTTTCAACAGTTTTCGCACGTCGTCCTTGAAGCAAAGCGCCCACCGTCGGTAACCGTCCCCGTTCAGGTGCAGAAAGTCGGGCTGGAGAAGGTGACGTGGACACTGAGGTTAAGCTTGCAATTCTCACAATCCTAAGCAGAAGAAGATGCCGATGGTGGCTGCTCTTGAAGACACGACTGGAATGAAAGACCTGCGCAAACTGGACGAGATCGTCTTCGAGCAATTAAGGCTTTCTGCTTGAACGCAATCTGATTTCGTGCCAAGCAGAATTGACACTAGCGCACGACTTGTAGCGGGCGATCTCAGGTTTTGTTCCCACTCACCAGAAAAAGTTCGTTTTTAACGCCGTCTCCCTCTGAGAAGACGGACGTGCAATCAATGAATCGTATTCTTCCCCCTGCAAGAGTCGGAATACTGTCCATTCAGTTCTGAGCATTGGGAACAGGATGTCGAGGAGAGAAAGATGGCCGAAGCACGATATATGATTGTGAGCCGCAGATAGTTCTGGGGATGGCAAAGATTGGAAGAGACTCAACTGGTCTCAGCCCTCGGATGACAGAGGAGAGGCTTCTGGGAAGCTATCTTCCGACTTCTTAAAAAGGTTTCGATCACAGCAAACCCGGTCACGTTGACAACGGCTGTGGACGTGTGGACAAGAGCAAACATAGCGGTTCCGAGAGGTGATTCGCCGCTTGAAACTTTCGGATAGGCATATCACCGAGCCAGGAATACCCTTAGGCTGACTGGCTGACTGAAAGCTGCGGAACCTGGGGTACGTCAGACATTGAGTCCACGTACCGTCGAGCTTTTTGAGCTTCTTATTTAGTTGCCCGGGCCCCTCGTGCCGCGCACCCGTCGGTACGCCGTATGCCTGCAATGGCGGGCAAACGTTTGACATTGGGGTAAGGAGTGCGCTTGCTGATTTAGCAATTGTGTCACTTCAGCATAAGGCAGCCGAACGCTGCGATGAGTCCGTTCTCAACCTAGCTTCAGCTCGCATAGGCATTGGCACGCCATTCAGACTGTCTTGCCTACCAACTGTCGACAACCTAAAATCTAGACAGCTGTTCAGAATACACAGGCAGATCTCATCGAAGTTATCGAAGAACGCTTGTCTACTCCATATATGTGTTGGACGATGATGAGATTCGAGAAGGATTGCCGGATATCATTTGCAGCGTCAATCACACCTTTGCCCCAGTACACCCTTGCCCAACATGGACAGCTGAGGGGGCATTCGCAGGTCTGCCTTTCCAGTAAGCCTTCTTCATCGCAAGTGCTAGAGAATCCATCTGAGCTAAACTTAGGTCGGTTCCCATTACTCCAAGCAGAACTTACCGACGGAAGGACGGACAGAAGCGCGATGCCCATCTCCGGCGTCCTCGTCTCGAAGAAGCCAAGAAGCCGCTTCATCTGAAAACAGGCAGACGAGACACACTCGTTAAGGCACACAAGGGAATCCCGCCAAACGGACGCACAAGAAGCGACTAACGACGCCTTTCAAGGTCGCGCTTGCAGTGCGCACGAAGGGCGAGCGCGTCGTAAGAATGTCAGGAGCCCATACAGGAAAGAGCTCGACGATTCCAATGAACAATTCCATGGACCAACACAAGAGGCTGAGGAAGCCTAATCCCGGAGACTGCGGCACTTACAAGAGTACGACGAATTCAGGCAGCATTACTCAGCTGCCTCAAAAGAGCACACTTGTTCTGTGAAGGACACCCCGATTGTGCTAGCGCATAAAAGTAGTCATCTCCTTCGTGACAAGCGCAAGGATAGAAGTTCAGAAGGACCTCACATGCTCAAAGGTATCGTCGACCGATTGGCCGCTCCCCAAATCGTTGACCCCTATGCACAGAATGAGCACCTTAGGCGTTCTCGCCGGCAGCTCTCCGTTCTGCACAAACAAAAGAGAGGGCTTAGAGGTCTGCCCCGACGACTCTTCGAACTGACCGCCGCCGCCTGAAAGCTTCCCATGCCAAGGTAGCTCAAACTCCGGCAAGCAAACCGCAAGTTTTGCAGCTGACCAAACCTTCGTCAGCCGGCTGAATTTGGGATTCCCATTTGAGGTTTGGCTTCACAAGGTTGCACAGAGTGCCCGAATCGGAGAGTGCCGGACTCGGGGAATGTTGTGGCTTCACCAAACATTCGTTAAAGTGGGCGTTTCAAAGTGTCAGCACTGACGTCACGTCACGGCGACTGATCCGATGTAGTTGAACTTGAGCCAGGACTGCAGCCGTCGCTGCGCTGGTAATCGGCACGAAACCCGGCACTTGGCGTTCGCAATTATCGCTCAAATTTGCGTGAGACCCCCTTCCGCTAACCTTGGACGTCCGGCGTTCGGCGGAACAGAACGCCCACTTCAAGCCAGCTGACTCTGAGAGTCGTTATCAAGCTCTGGCATGACGAGATTCATATGGAGGCCGATATGTCTTGCTGGACAACAATCAATGCAAATCTGATCTCGAAGCTTACTTGCATCCGCCACAGAAGATGCAGGACCCTGTCCCCCGCGATGCCGAAGTCGGCCGCGCTCACTCCCAGCTCCCGGTTCAATTCGTCCCAAGTCTGCCTGCCACGCGGCACTCGGAATCAGGACTCAATAGAAAGGCTTATGGTGCGACCGGAAGCGCTCCGAAAAGTGCAAGGACTGTCTAGGCCTGTACATAGACAGGTGTCAAATTCCTCACGTGTCAACAAACATCCCCGTGACACTCAACTGTTGTGAACCATATAAGCAAGCAACATACGGAGCCGTCCAAACCAACACTCACTTGTTGCCTTCATACTTCTCCATGGGTCGGTCCACACTGGTCCCCACCCATCCCTGTGACGAAGATTAGAAACGAATTAGGTAATCGCCGTTGTGCGAGGCCCGTATTGTTTCGCGAGCTTTCCCAGAGTACTTTCAGCTGGCCTTGATGGTTTGAGGGTCCCAAATAAGCATACAATGTGACCCCGAGTGTGAAACAAAAGACAGCGGACTCCTCAGAGTTTCCTGTCGTACAGTTCGGAACCGCTGCAATGTCTTCTACCATTCGAGAGCTACAGGGCCGCTGGGAGAGCATGCGACTCCGATCTGTTGCCGCAGACCCCCACCTTGATTGGATCATCTTCGCGACAACTTGAGCAATTTTCCGAATTCAAAACAATTCGTCGATTTGGGAATGACACCAATGTCGGGGCAAGTCTGCACTCTCCTGCCAACGATTCCATGAAGAGTGGCCAGCTCTGCGCATAGATCGTCAGAAAAACCGATTGCCTGCCCTACATTTCATGCCACAAAATTCTCGCTTAACCTCCCAGATCAAAGCGCGACCACATTACAACGACACATCGTAAACAATACATTCAACGTGACTCACAAGCTCACCTCTGTGATCGAGTCCCCTAGGTACAAGAGATCAAACTCGCCGTTTTTTGCTTCTTGAACCAGCCGTTGGTGCCTCCCGCTCCAGTCTGGTCGCTGTATCCGCTCCTCTACGAAAGGAGGCCAGTCCTCTGTCGGCCCATACTCTTCTGGCCCGACTTTGACCAGAATCTGTTCGCCGGTGAGCGGGGCGTGCCGCAGCAGAAGCAGCGCCCCCGCAAAGAGGACCAAGACAGTAAATGTGGCTGTGGTCACCAGTTTCTGTGAGAATGGGGAAAAGGATTTAAAACTCTCATGCATGTCCAGAGAAAGAGGGGCAATAAGAGCCTTTGAACAGCTTAAGGAGCAGGGGTGAAGACTTTGCTTGGGCACAAGTGGGGTCTGCAGCAAAGCTATACAGCTCTGTCTGCAAGATGTAGAGAAACACGAGGGGGTCATGGAAGGCTAGGCGAGAAATGGTGAGGGCACATGATTGTCGTCTTCAATCAGGGGATAAAAGACTGCTTACTGAATTCTGTCTTATGAAGCGCGAGAAGCACTGCTGATGTCAAAATGCGGCGGAAAAAGACTACGTGTTCCCATCTTGATCTACTGATAAGTTTATCCTGGAACTAAATATGGAAAAGGCTAGAAAGAATTACCTGCACATTCTTCTGAAAGTCAGGTCGTGCACGGGCAAACTGCGCAAGAGGCAATCTTGTCAGTTTTCTGTCTTCAGTCCCTGTTTGGTATTCAAATTTCGAGTCAATATTGTTCCAATTAAGTGAGTAAGACCTGACCGGTTTGCCCCATACCCTCTTGACTTGATGCATGAATGATGGTGCAAAACCTAGGGGGGCAACTTCTTTGTTTCTTTCAGAATCTTGTCCCAGGCTGTTGCGGTACACTGTATCTTAAAAATATTAATGTGGCCAATATACTCCTGTAGCAGCTTTGACAGACTGAGCAGACGTGCTCAGATGTCATTGGTGGGAGCAGCTGTTTAGCTGATATCTAAATTCAACTGAATTGCTCTTGCCAATGTGAAGACATGACAAGAAACATAAGAGTTCACAATGGGGTTTGGCAACAAACTCTGATCCACTTGCATCAGAATCTAAAGCTGAGGAAGTCCATCTGCTCTGCTCTGTTCAATTGGGCAAAGCAGCAATTTTTATCGTACAACACTCCTTGTGATGCTGCATTTCTGGTTTCCCTCCAAGACTCACTGATCCTTCAGTCCGTTGTGAAAGGGATCATCTTGAAGCAATTTACTGCTCATGTGAGTTGCGGACTATACAACAAGCAATTGCCAGTGAGTTGCGGACTATACTGGCCAGAATGTCAATTTGCGCTCCACAAAATGTCTCCCCTCTACCTAAGATCTATCCCAGTGTGGGTTTATGGGGAAACAAGGAACTGAAGACCCTTACGTGCATTGACTCCTCTACTTCATTCCACCATTCCTGGATCCCTCGGGGCCGTTGCAACAGAGATGCAATCTCCATCGGACTCGCCATCTTGATGCCGTCGCCAGGTCTTCTGACAACAAGTGCTTGATCAGCACGATATTACGAGTATCAGCATTGTTTATGCAAGGACGCCATTGGCTTTGGAATTGAACTTCTATGACATGCATGAGAAAGCATGAGATCAGAGAAAGCATCCTCCAGGCAAGCAATTTCGTTTTCTGTGCTACCTAGTTGCAAATGTTGAAGTATCAGCTAATCGTGTAACGACACGTGTAAGGTGCAACGTTAACGGGCTAAGCAATCGTTACCGTGCGTCTTCCGACAAGCTTTGCTTGGAAACGGTCATCGCCCATTGTTTCGCCTTCAAGTTTCAGGGCTTGCAATGCGCAATGCAGCTCTGCCTAGCTAGAACATTTGTGGACTTTGAGGGGAGCACCAAGTGCGCTATCCGTTTGTGCTGACATCTGTGAACTGCAACTCCTTGAACGGAGGGGTTTGCCTGTCTCCTATTGTGGTTACGTGGATCTGACCAAGGGCAATCAAGTACACGTGGCTCCAAGGAACATCTTTGCTAGACGGCGTGGAAAGAAGCGCCTAGATCACGAGTTGAAAAAGTAAGGATTGTGAGAAGCACAAACGAAGCAATGGCGGGGTCCTCTTCAGAAGAGCGGGGGTTCGAAGCGGCGCTGGAGGCCATCTCTTCGCTGATCACAAGGAGGAAGCGGGCCGATGGATCCAACTGGGGCGACGCATTCGCTTTAATGGACACTTACATCAAGGTGTGATGTCCAACACTGCTTTCTTCTGGTGAACTTAGTTTAGGTTTTGCTATATCCGCGGTTTAGTGAGAGTTGCGCTTTTCAAGCAAACCAAGGGTGGTGAAAAGTCAAGGGGCTTGTTGTACACTGATTTTGTGTAATGCTGTCTTTTGAGCTGTTGAAAAACTCCTCCTAGATGAGTTGGAAGTAGTCTGTGCTTTCAAGTAAACTTTGACAGCAGACTCACTTTCCCTGGCTGGTCAGTTGCATCATTTCACTACGAAGACATCTTATTCCACCATTGCTTGAAAAAAGGACGTGCTATGTTCTCCAAAATCCCAATGCCCCTTGCCTCTCTTGGTTTTGCTCTTGTCAACTGTGATTGTATGCTCGGAGCACTTCGCTGTGACCAGTGTGCGTGATCAAAGTCATTTAATCAGCGTTACTTCCCTTACTCTCGGTGATTGTGGAATAGTCTTGGGAGGAGAGTGGTGGCACAGAGTTGTCAAATCCAATTATGTAGTCAATCTGAGCCGATGTGAAGCGTCTGTACACACTGTTCCACGATCAAATGGTCATCTAAGAAAGGAGTTGAGTTTAGATTTGTTAAAGTAATGCATGGCCCACCTGACTTGCCAGTTCCAGTGCTAAGTGCACCCTCTGCAAAGAAAAGGGGGAGGCAATCAAGTTGAGCACTTGACAGACTGCTCCTGGCTGACTATTCAATCTGGCCAGCATGACTGCCTGCACAGATAAGGATCGACGCTAGTCAAGACATGTGAGAAGTTGACGGTCGATTCATTTTGACTTCTATTTTGTGCAGATCCTAGACCTAGAGGAGCCCCTCAGCAGGCTAAGCGTCATACATGTAGCGGGAACGAAGGGGAAGGTGAGCTCTTATATGTAGCTGTCCATTAGGCAAGGGTATGTCTAATCAGAACTATCTAGTACCTGGATTTTTTGTCAGTCTGATCATCACCATCCCTGGGGCCCTGTCCGGATGCCATTGTCAGCAGCTTTATCTAGTTGTGCAATTTTGACAGACCCCCCAAACATGGACCTGTGGTGCGCATTTAGACGAATAGACCGATCGCTATAAGATCCTGCTGGTGGCTTAGGACAAGCATGTACATCAGCATTTACAAGTTACTGGACTAAGGAAGTCGTCAATGAATGCTGGCCCTGGCAATCTTCTGAGCAGGACTCATGCGTCTACCTCAGCTTGAGACCCCCCTATACAGCCCGTTTTTGGTCTTCACAGGCAAGACGAGTCCTCACTTTTTACGTATCTCTGTGGAATCTTTTTGTGATAAAGACAAGGGCTTTGAGTTTGCAGGGATCCACATGCGCCTTCGCCGAGAGTATATTGCGTCACTCCGGCAACAAGACGGGCATGTTCACATCCCCGCATTTGGTGGACGTCAGAGAGAGGTTCCGGATTCGGGGGTGAGGCTGTTCACCTGTTCGGTTGGGACTCTTTTAACCAGGAACATGCGGGCCGAATCTTTGACACTTGAATCTTTATTCGGAGGTCGAATAATACCTGATACACGTTAATATATTGACAAGCAAACAGCGGTTGCTGTTCGGTGGGCAATCCCGAACCGGTCCTGTCACAACGGCAGACACCGACTTTTTCAACACCCACGCTCAGTCGTCAAACCTGATGGACGAAGTCTTCGAAAGTGTTTGAAAGCGCTCTTCTCGACTGTCGGCAGCTGCCACCTGCCTCGACAAAGATCCACCCACTCGGTCCGCACTTACCCGTTATTCTGGACGAGCTGTCGGGAACGACTCGAAGCCCCCTGCATTCCCAAACTGATGTTTCTATTAGATGCGACCAGCGGTACTTCCCTTCAGAACGCACCAAGTCGATCAAGTTCCAGACACTTTGCTGGTGTGTCCTTAAAGGATCAAGGCCCCTACGAGTCGGTCTGACTCTCCTTGCGCATAATGCCACGACCATAGGGTAGGGTGACTTTGGTGGTCAAGAGGTTTGGAGGTGGTCATGCGTGCGGAGGTGGTCATGCGTGCAGAGCCGGTAACATTCCGTGTCAATAATCCCGCTATCAGTCAAGGCTCTTGATAAGCTTGTCTACTCATCTTCTGTCTTGAGAACGATGTGCAGTGAGCTGGTGCCCAAGGACGTCTTTCTGGAACACTTTTGGTGGTGCTGGGACCGTTTCCAGGCGGCGGCGACCCCCGACGTGCCCCTCCCCGCCTATTTTCGCTTCCTCACCCTGCTCGCGCTTCGCATATTCATTGCGGAAAAGGTGAGGGGGGATGTTCGGTGCATCTGAAAGGGCGAGTATGAGGGTGTACTTTAACGGGAATTTGCAAGCGCGCTGAGGAATAGAGAGAAACGGTCCGTGCAGGAAACACAGCAACTAGAGGTGAGTAGGGAGTGGTAAGAAAGGAACGGACTTTCTCCGTTGGCCGCAGTCCTTCTGCGGGTGCCAGTCTCCATGTTCCGCCTGCTGGCGAATTTTCCATCCGGAGGCTCACATCCCTCGCTCTGAATGTTTCTTCTACTTGAACGGTTCTCATCAAGTATTTACATGTATAGATGCAGGATGCATTAGACATCCCGACACCAATTCTAGGTTCTAAAGGGCTCCTCCTGAGAGTATTTGAAAATTCGTGAGCTGACAGTCTCATGTTGCAGGTAGACGTTGCTCTTCTCGAGGTGGGCATTGGAGGCCGATACGACGCCACTAACGTCGTGAGTAAGCCGTGGTAGTGTCAATCCGCTTCGGTTCCTTGTCATGATTAGATCAGGTTGACCTTTCATTAGGGCTGACTTTCGTCGGCCCCAAAGATTGACAACTAGTAACTTAGCACTGTTCCTTGGATGAGTCTAGTGCACCCGTTGGGTTGGCCAGAGACAATTGCAGCTACGCAAATACCTGAGTACTAGGTTAATCAGGACAAAGTAGAGGCGCTTACTTATGGGATCTTCCCTGTTCCTGCAAGAAGGAGTAGCTCCTCACGGACTGAGGCACAGGACTTTCTCTGTGCTGTTCAGAGACCCGGAGTTTCAACAGAAATTTAACCCAAACTTTCGAATCAGAGCGCTGTTAATCTGATGAAGTAGCAAGACGTAGCTTCGTATCAGCTCGGCTCAAGGTACCTGCCCCTTTTGCTCCAGGTTAGAGCGCCCGTGGTCTGCGGAGTCGCCTCCTTGGGTTATGACCATACGGAGTTGCTAGGTGAGCGACACGCTCGTCGTTTTCCGTTCCTTCCCTCCTTGCGCTTTTGGTCCCAAGTTCAGCCTCATCCGTCCGTCGAACGGATTAAGCAGGCAGTCGTCGTTTGTTTCGGCCGTCCGCTTCACCATGAGACCAACTCAACGTGTTCCAAGGAGCGTGAGTCTGGATCACTGCAGTGGATCATTGTCGATGCCCCGCTGAGTCCTTCAGAGTATCTCCTGTTTGTCTACTGCGCTCTGTTAAACCAGGCGACTAAATGATCTCAAAGCTGAAGAAGTTCCTGACCGTCCGGCCTCGAGATGGAATACGTGCGAATTGAAGGTGCATGCGCTTAGCCTGACGTAGAGCTACCACTCAAAGACGCGCTGGCTACGTTGGAGTCTAGTTCTGTGCTTGGAATCCTACTGCCTTCATTCCCCAAGAAGCCCGTCCGACCCATCTGAGCCCGGAACCTTTTGATGCCCGCAGGCGACACGCTGCCGTTGATCGCTGCCGAAAAGGCGGGTATCTTCAAGGTAGGGTCGCCGGCCTCTTTTCCCATCTCAGACGGTGCTTTCGGTAATTTCGTGTCTATGAAGAATCGTGTGACCTCGCAAAGCTAATATCTCTTTTTAACGAGAAGACGCATCAACACAGCAACTTGAGGAACTCTGCTGCTTTGTAAGCCAAGAATAGCTTCCGTCCCATTCATCCCGACCGTTGATCTCCATTTTTCGGCCCTCTTGTGCAGCCACGTGTCCCCGCCATCACCGCCCCCCAGCCAGACGATGCGATGGAAGCTTTGCAGAAGCGGGCCGACGAGTTGCAGGTAGGCACGCCGCTTCCCGTCAATACCCTTCGGTTGTCTCCGAAGAAGGTTTGCAAGTCTTTCTAGCTTTGTCATTCCTGAGGCTGCGTAGACGAAGATACTGAGAGCTGGCGCACCTCTTCCCTTTGATCTGCGATATTAGTTCATTCAGCTGGACTCTGCCCAGCAGAATACGAATAGGAAGTCAAGCAGACTTCTTTTTGTATGGTGCAAGGAAGTAGCTGCTGACGATCGTCCCACCCTTGCTGAAGCGTCTTCTCATCAAAATGCTAATGCGTACACTTCAGCTTGCTTACGTGTGTTCTTACATACTGCCTTTGCCCCCTCATATTGTTCCTGAGTATTCGAAAACTTACTGACGTGTCTCCCTCCGTTCAGATTTCTCTAGACGTTGCGCCGCCTTTGGAGAGCCTTGAAGACCCCTCGGCTATTTCGCTCGGCCTCGCCGGCGACCACCAGCGCATCAACGCAGCTTTGGCGGTCGCCCTGTGTCGAGCCTGGACCGAGCGGGCGGGACCGACGGCGCAGCTGGACAACTTGAGACAGGTGCGATTCACAAAACCTTCCGGCGCGCAAGCTCACTTTCCTCGCTTTGCCTTTTACGACCATAGCTCCACGCACAGTCTGGGATTGCTTGAGCGAACCTAAGCTTGAGAACCCGTTTGCCTAACGTGACTGTCTCCCCAAGCAAGCGCTCCTTAGAAGAGCAAAGCAGCAGGGTCCCGTTGAGTCATCTTCTTTTCGTGCGTTGCCAATAGTACACCATGCAATCTAGGTCAAAGAATTATTGGACTCGAGCCGTTCAATTTACGAAACGTAAGCTTGGGACAGACCAGACGATGCGAAAAGCCCGGACCGACTGCTCAACAGAGGGGCCAACTTTAGCATACCTGCAGCAGCGCACATGCAACCATGACATCACGAGTGCGCTTCTGCCAAGCCTACAGAGCGTGACATTTCACCTTTTTTCGAACTCAAGTCGCTAGCGTTCTTACCAGGCGATGCAACGAAAACGACTCCCCGACTCCTTCCGACGGGGCCTCGCCTCGGTGGAGTGGCCCGGGCGCGCTCAGATCATGCCCGACACGGAAATTCAGGCGCCGGGTGAATCCCCCCAGGGCTCCCTCATGTTCTACTTAGACGGCGCCCATACCCCCGAGAGCATGGAGGTCTGTGCCACGTGGTTCTGCGAAAGTGTTGCCGGGGGTGCGGAAACAGCGGAGACCTCTGAGGGGGGACAGAAAGTCGGTCATCAGGACCCCCCGGAAGGAAGTGGGGAGGCGGCTGAGCGACCGGGTTTGCAAAACGGACTTGGGTTAGCCGCGGACTTGGAGCGGGTTAACGGGGAAGAGAGAGATGGGCGGACGGATCGGACGGGGTTAGGTTCGGAGGGCTTGAACGTTCGAAGGGTGCTGTTGTTCAACTGCATGCAGGAGCGAGAGCCCGTCAAGCTGCTGGACCCCCTCATACGAATAGCGCACGGCAAAGGTATGTAATCCACACCCTGCAATTCTGTTGGACCCCTCTTAGTCAGCTGGAAGTTGTACCAGAGCTGTACCGGAGACTTTCAGAGACTCGCTTCTTGTGGTCTGACTGTCTGCTCTCTGACGATGCCGTCACTGTCCTTGGCCTTTCTTTCGCACGACGAACAGTTGTTGCTGCTACAAGGCTCACAAAAAAATACAGGTATAATCACAATGAGGATTGTCATTAGCCGTTGCGTAAACCGTGTTTTTGATGACATTTCTTGCTGCTGCAGGAGTTTCTTTCCACCGTGCCATTTTCGTCCCCAGCTTCTCCAGCTCCACCTCCATAACCACCCTCAGTTCCACCCCCGACTTAACCTGGCAGCAAACCCAGCTCCAAACCTGGACGTCCATCCTCCACAAACTGGGCCCCACCCTTAACCGCAAGCCTAACCCGGTTCCTCCCACCGCTCCGGCTGGCGCGGCGGAGCAACCAGACCGAAACGGGTCTCATGTTGCTAGTGCGAGGGATGGTGACGTCAGCTGGGACGGGTCCGGGTTCGTGATGCCGTCGCTGCCGGCGGCGCTCGAATGGCTCCGGAAGGCCGCTCGGGAGCAGCCCCCGGGCAGATTGCAGGTTCGTCATTGTGTCGGAGTCTAGATGATCAAGGGGGTTTCGTATTCCAAGTATTTGAAAGGGGGTCGGCACTTGATTACTGAAGTTGTTGGTTTAGCAACGGCCATTCCTCGTTCTTCAAGTCTACTTGACTCTTCCGGCAGAAGCTCCGGCAAAAGAGACCACTGCACCCACGTTCTGATGACTGTTGCATGTTGAAAAATTGCCCAAAGCTCAATACTGGGCACAATGACACAACTTAACGCTCTTAGGGCTCCCTGATTGGATTCCTTACGGCATCGCTCGTGCCCAATTAGAGCATCTTGAGTCAGACTGCTCCTCAGAAAACTTGATCGAGTGCCGTTTTGGTTTGGGTTTTTCGTGAATACAGGTGCCAGTGCAATTGTTGCACGCAGTTGTGTACGAACTTGTTGACCAACAAAGCTGTCGCACAAGACTGTCATGTTTTCCCCAGAAGGCGATGCTTGATTGTTTGCTGTCCTGCGGCTCGTTGCTCACTAAGGCACGTTTTGTGGTGCAGGTCCTAGTGTCGGGTTCACTCCATCTTGTGGGCGACGTATTGCGGCTGCTGAAGCACTAAGAGCAGTCTCGTGCAAACTCAATGTGCCAGAGTTTTCAAAACAGCCGTGTTTCTTGAAGCGGGTTGGATGGCTTTGTCGGACTTTCCTTGTACAAGGGCATGCAACTGTTGAGCTAGCCACTCGAGGTCGCTCGCTGCAAACAAGTTCAGAGAGTTTCATGTCGCTTTGGCGGCTTCCTTTGCAAGTGAGAGTCTCGAGGGATTCATTAGCATGTGAGCCTTGCAGATTGTAACGTGCATTTTGCAGTATGCCCGGTAAAGTTGATGATTGTTGGGCTAGAATCCGATTGGATGGACCCTGATGGAGCTCTAGAATACTTTTCAGACACGGCTACGTATATACAATGCGGATTTGATCCATATCACATTGCAGTTGTTCGAAGCATGGCGATGTAATGCGCCGTCTGTAAGGGCGTGGCGGCATGACTGTGCGCGCGTTGGTCAGTGCCACATCCACCAACTTGTCGACGAACCCGATAATCGGACGGCTCTGCGATCAGAACCTCTCACTGAGTCTCAGCCGCCGAGCTCGAAAAGCTTGTATCGGACGGTGAAAATGAAGGAGGACAGGCCCAGGCTCGCGGCGTTGTGACCGTCGCTTGCATATGGGGGTGGCATTTGACTCGATTCGGATCGGAGATCACATGCTCGGAAGAAAGATCGAATCGGGAAGCCGCCATGGCGCTGCCAATCGAGGCCATCGCGCTGCTGTGCTTGAGTTTGTTGCTAGCTGCTTGTGCTGCAGCTATCTACTTTCTAAGCCCGAGCGCTGGAAAGAAAGATGGAGCAAGCACTGAGGAAAATGAGAAGGTATGGCGCCCTGAAGTTCTCTACGTTCCGAGTTTTCGGATTGCTCCTTTGGTTCAGGACATGATGCCGTGCTTCTGGCTGCATATTGCAAGTTTCAAAGTGTCAGTCTCAGTTTAACTGTCAACCATGTCTGTCAGAGCTCACAAATCAAAATGCTGTCATATGCCCTTTTGCCCTACTCTCCAATGCTCGTATCCCTTCAAGCGTGTCTGTCGCTACACTGCTTTAGCTTTGTGTGCTCTTGAATTGGGTCTTCAATATTGTCAAAGCAAAAGTCTGGAACCACTGAGAATCCTGCCCTGTTCGGGAAGGACAAGGTTGCAGCCAGCATCTTATTGCAAGTGGCAGAGTTTCGCCCATACACTAAGTTTCAGTCCCTGCACTACGTCACACCAAATGCAAGCTCGACTCCCACCACCTGCTTTTAGAAAAGTAGGACACTTACGCCAGCTTTAAAGTGTCCTTCTCCTACACCACTCGCGATTGCACAGAGCAGCCCCGTTTTCAGCAGTCTTCACATCTTCATATATTTGCCCTAATGTGTTCCACTTACATGCGTTTGACTCTTATGTGAGTTGTTTGTCTGTGCAGGAAGAGGAGAACCATCAGCAGGGGCCCCGAGCGGGGCCGCGGGGAGGAGCCGGTCGGATGCGACGGCGGCGTGGCGCTCAGGCTGCGGCTGCTGCACCGGAACCAGGTGTGCGTTCACACTCTCTTTGGCAAGTCTCAGCCTGGGATGCCGTGTCCAGGGTGAACGGTGTTGATACAAGAGCGCTCGGGAGAAAGTGAAGCTGGAGGAGAGTCAAGGAGTCTCTGTGCGAAGTGCAGAAAGTCAGGTGCGTCTGCAAGGTTTTTACGGGGTGCCGATGCGTTTTCTGGAGGCTTGCATTGCTTGCGGCGTGGAATCAGAATCGAAGACGTTGGCTGCAAGATTGGCAAATCAGAGTTACTTTTACTGTAATGGCTTCCCTCCTTGCTTGTCCACTCCTAACAGTACGGAATGCCAGGCACTTGTTTAAGTTGTCTAGACGCATGCTGAGATCCTCGATCGCTGCGTGACTTTGATACGTGAACGGACGTCGCTTTCTTTGAAAGAAAGAAAAGCCTTACCTTGAATACATCTGGTCAAGCGCAGCTTCTCACGCCGCTGGTCCATTATGCTTTCTTCGGCGAGCTTCTCTTCTTTTCGGGTACTCGTTTCTTCTCAACTTCACTGAAGAGGAGTTGGCAGCTTCTTGAAAGTAGATCAGGTCACTCATTATCCTTGACGAGCAAGCTTCTCAAGGCTCTTTTTTTGTTGCAGCGGGGGCTGCCAACCAAGACGAAGGGGAGAACGAGGAAGGGGAGGGGGAAGACGGCGAGTACTATCAGGCAGGAACTGGGGGCAGGCGCGAGCAGAGGAGAAATGAGCGGGAGGCTCGGCGACTGGTATGCTATCGGTTCTGCTGGAGCTCGGTTGTAATTTTGGGACTGTCTATCTAGAGACAGCGCCATTGTGGGTCTGTAATCAAGGGCAGAGAAGGCGGCACTCTTTCCTGGTGAATGTTACCTTCGGAGTCATGGCGCCTACCGCCGGACTTGAATACTGTCACTGGGAGACAGGTATTTCCCAAATAGTGTCGTTAGCCAGGCCGGTCGACCCGCCAACATGTCAACATCATGCTAGGCATCTCCCACTCCAGACTTCTCTCCTCAATCTAAACGCATAACGGTGTCTGCATACTTATATTCGCCCATGCAGCACCATCTGTCTTTTGTCCAGGTTCCGTCCTAACAGGTGCTTGCAACATTGTTGTATATCGAAGCCATCATCCTTATGCAGGCGCAGCAGGGTGCAATAGACCACAAGCGGGATAAGCAGGAGAAGCAAGCCGAGGCCCGCAGGAAGAAGGACGAGGAGAGGGAAGCCCAGGAGAAAAAGCTGGTACGAGGACAACTGGCAATCTTAGAACCATTTTTCTGCCACTCAAGATGTCCCACAACGGCTTCCTGTTTGATAGCTCGGCACACCTTAGGCGCACGGAGAAAGTCTCGAAATCTGGAGTTCCAAACCACTTAAGTGGAGACATGCAAGACAAGCAATCCCGAACTTTCGAGTTCCAGATTTCGAGACTGACACATTTGCGTGCAGACAAAAGACTGTGAGATTTGAGGTCGTCCAGGCTGCTCGAACGTACCGGAGACTGGCTCTTAGTGGCGTGACAATGTTCTGGTCGTTATGTATATTAGTCGATCATGTGTATGTTGAAATCTCTCCTCGTCAGGGATCCAGGCACGACGCAAAGGCGACAACAGTCCCAGATCCTACAACTCTTTGACCCGGCTGCTCTGAAGTACTTTTCTCCTGACCTCTCTGGCAAGCAGAGAACAGCAGCAGCAGAAAAAGCTGCAGGAATCGGAAGAGGCGAACGGTTCGCGCGACTGTTGCCACCATCAGGAGGCTCTGTAACGTTGATAATGAAATGATATATGATATTCATGTTACTCCATCCCGCTTTTGTGGCGTGCAGGACGACGAAGTGGCGGCGAAGAAGCGGGCGGAAGAGGAGGCTGCAGAGGCGGAGTATGACAAGTGGCGGGGCGCGATCAGCATGGAGGCGGAAGGGACGGTGGAGCAGGACGCGCAGGAGGAGAGCCAGGGACTGCTCGGGGAGTTCGTCGAGTACATCAAGGTAGGGGTCGAGGAAACCATATTTTCTCCGAATTCTGGGGGGTGGAGGAGATAAAGTCGAAGTTTTGTTGTAGAGTTCCTGAGACTTGGGACCAGACCAGCAGGGACAGCTGGAGGAGTTTAAACGTATGTGAAGGTGAGGGCGAGGGGTTGCAGTTGTGTGTTCAATTTTTTTTTGGGGCACTCAGAGGCAGGAAGGAGAGCCAAGCCAAGGACCGCTTAGCAGTCTGTTGAACAAGCTAGGAAATTTATGTGCTGGTACAGTTATTCCCTGAGCGTCAATCTTGCTGAGTACAGTCCATACTGTGGCGAAAATGACAATTGTGAGCGGTTGGGTCCGTTTTGGGCCCCCGAAGATTTCTGGTTGGGAAACGGCCTGCAGATTTGGAAAGGAAGAAAGTTGTGGTCGATGTCCGGCCCGTTGGAGCATTCAGAGGCCTTACGAACTCGTGAAGCTGGGCCGAATCTCATTTTGCCCGAAGAAGGGCAATATTTCTTCCATTTGTGAATTTGTCATATATGAACCTTTCCTTCGGATCCTAGCTTATACTCACGCCCTTCTTGCGGTGCAGAAACACAAGACTGTCGTGCTGGAGGAGTTGGCATCCGAATTCGGCTTACGGACGCAGGTGAGGACTCGTCGGTCGGAACTGCGGCGGCCCAAGTCAGGAGTCAAAGATCGTCGTCTCGCTGCCTAGAATACCCTCAGAACATCTCACAGAACCTTCAACCCGCGGTTTCAAGCCCAAGCTTGGCAGCAGTGTCTGTGTCCGCTCGAAGCTGATTGAGAAAGTCTGAGCTTCGTGGACTATCTCTGTCTGTTCTTTCTTAGGCAGCAGGTTTTGTTCTTCTGAGGAAAGGAATAGAGAGTTTTGCGAACCATGAGATGCTCCAATATGACCACGTTAACGGATCACCGGAGAAGTAGTTTTGCTGTTCGGCCAATGCGTTCCCAAGACTAGAACCTGCCCCAAGCAAGCAAGCAATCTAGGGCCTCGGGACATGGAATGTCAGCTCTGCCGGAACTGGAGCCTTTTCTGCCCTCGGGTTTTTCTTTTCAGGACGTCAGTGTCGATCTGTGCAACTGCGATAATGACTCCTGCGGGGTCTTGATTGCCCTGATGCGGTGGTGCAGGACCCGACTGGGGTTGTGACGGTGTGCACTTTTGTTGACAAGCCTGGACACGTGTAACTATGTCTCCCGAGGTGTGCCCACTTCCGTCTGGCTGCTCTAGAGTTTCGCTCTACGAGACCTGCTGTGACATTTATTCGACAAGAAAAGGCAATGTCCATGACGATCAGACATATCGGACTTCTCCTCAGTTTCCACGTTATTGTTTGGTGAATCGTTGGCTGATTGCAATCCCTTATTGTGCAGGACGTTGTCAGTCGGGTGATATCTTTGGAGGAGATGGGTAAGCTCAACGCTCCTAAGTATCCGTCAGTTCGGCCTTCGCCCTGCTTTCGAATGTTTTCCCAGATGAAGTCCGTCCAACCGATTCGGATGTTCGGGTAAGTGCGCCTGGGCGCGGCAAAAAGAAGTGCATCTAGTTCGACCAATCAGATGCAACAAGTCGGCAAGCCGGTGTTTATCACACAATTGGAGTCTTTCAAAAAGATCGTCAAGATAAAGCCAGGCCTGGTAATCATTCTTGCCAGCGCTCTTGAAACGAATTTAGGTGCTTCTGGATTTCCGATGATGGCAGGGCTTATCTAAGGTTCCCGGCCCTATCTTACGTGGTCTTGGCTATTGAGTCCGTTTATGTGCGGCCGTTTACAGGGCGAATTACGGGGGTCATGGATGAGCGGGGGAAGTTCATCTTCATATCCCCAGAGGAAATGGCAAAGGTCGCCGAGTATGTCAAAGAGAAGGGTCGCGTCAGCATTGCGCATCTAGCCAACAAGTCGAACGAGTTTATTGATCTGACCCCCAAGCTGGACATCCAAGAAACACAGTCAATAGAGGTCGCCTGATCGATATTGTTTTGGACCGCGTTCCCATCATCATTCCTTCAAATTCAAGCTTATTGTGGGACCGTCAAGACAAAGAATTGGTGATTAATGGTCCGGGGCTGTTGTATGAATTTTCCCGTTGTCTTTGGGCTTGACACGTGCACTTTGAAAGATGGTCACATGGCTGAGTAGCTGAGACTTTGGTACCAATGTGACACAATCGCTCAAGTATATGACAATGTATATGACCCGGCACTTCTATCCAACATGTTGCCATAAGCTTTAACGCTTCATGTTGAAGGCCAGACCATCCTGCCAGCTAATTAATTACAGGGCTACTATAATTCGACAAAGACGTATCACCTACATGCATTCAATGTATAAATTAGAAGATTCAAACTTACACACAGCATCATATGAAACGTATCCTCTTTTTTGTGATTAAAATTCCTACCAATACTATATATGAACCAAATCTACCCAAGGATACGCACCGCAAATTTAACCAGCTAGTGTATGGAGTATAGGCTATGTTGATTTCGAACGTGATCATTATATCATGCGCATATCGGAATCATATATCATCCGACCGGTTTTGCCGTTTACGATGACGCTCAAACCAAAATCATTTCATACATGCACTAGGACGGAGTCGACCTATGTAAATTGAGAAATTCGCATGCATGGAACCCAAAGCTCGATCTGAGCGATTGACTTCAGCGGATCACTGAACAAAGACTAGGTTATAGGTTACTACGAATGCAATGCCAATGCCAAAATTTCCCAAAATCCGATTGACTTCATAGATACTTATCCGCAAGCAATGCTACATTAATGCAGGCGCGCTGATCAAACAATGTGGCTCAACTACTACTTGTCAGACCCTACTATGTTTCATAACCCTACACCAGTTTGACCCGTTACAACAGTAACAGACTCCCAAATAATCTGCGACAGTCGTGCTGGACTGCAAAATGACGCAGAACCATCTGTACCTCACATCCGTGCAAGTTGACAGCAAATTAGAAGTCTAGAGGCGCAGCGAGCTACAACAAGACCTACTTCTTTCTACCAAATGCTTATGCAGCTCGCCTAGTGTTGCCAACATGTCGTCCGAACCTTTGACACTGCCCTTGCACTTTAGACCGCGGAGATGACCAGATCCATTCGAAACAACCACTTATGGCGCATCAGACCCTATCACAGGTTGCCTACAGTACTTGACGTGCCTCCTTGCTCGAAATGACGAACTTTATTCTCAAAGCCGCTCAACCCCGGAACACCGACACCGTGCGGGAGTTCAAAAGCTGAACGAGGCGGTTGTCGGCGCGAGCCCCATCTCCGCCAGCATTGGCAACTTCCAACTGCAGTCCGGCATCACAGGTGTCAACATTGTAACAACTCCTTCGACCTTTGATATGGCACGACCTTTGAAGAAATCAATATGCTATAATTTCTGATATACCTAGCATGCCACGAAAGATAAAAGCGAACAAAAGTAGGAAGCGAAAGATTGGAAGTCGACATCATGTCCTGAAATTTCAGCATGCGTGTGGGGTTAATGATTGAGAAGCTTATGAAACCCCGCAGTTCAAGCGAGCATAGTGATCCCAGCAGGACACACTTGCAAATGCGCTTGGTTTATATCATCAACTGGAGCCCTTTGCTGAGTTATCAGCTAAGCTCCTAAGAGTATGACACAAACGCCAGCTTCCAATCAACAACACACAACTTTGGCTAATGGCCCGTTTCAGAGAAAGCGTGTCGTTACAAGCAATCGAAACGGAAGATGTACAAGGATAGATAACTTGGACTCGAAGGTATCGAAGGGCCGACAGAAACCTGCAAGGGTTGACAAGCCCAAAAACGTAGCTGCTCGGAAGATGTTAACCCGAAAAAGGTACGAAAGCATGTACATAAGCGCAGGCAAACCGGGGAAACTGGCAGAGATGAGACGACAACAACACTTGAGGAGGGTCAAACGCGCGAGCCGGCCAAGTGAGACACAGGCTAGCAGAAGCTTCGAGACGTAGGTATATCGAGGGCACTAGCGCACGTGATTGGAGGCTCACAAAACGAGTGCTGGTGGAACTTTAACCACCACCACAAGCTGGGCACATAAGAAGATTCGAAACCTTTGCGAGTTTGTGAACAAGATTGATCAAGACTGAAGCACGTGTGAAGTAGAGGAAATAATTAGTCGTTTGAGTGAGTCGGCACTGACCGTGAGGAGCTGGCTAACTGAGAAGGTTAGGGGGTTCTGGAAGATTAACCAGAGCACGTTCTGCGTGCACGGGGGGGTGGTCAGGCTGCCGTTGTAATACCAGTAGCTGGAGTTGCTCGGGAACAGGTTGGTCAGGTTCAGCGTGCTGTTAGCGGGAGCCTGCTCGGACGAGGATTAAATTCTTAACCCAGGTTAGGTGCTTCCCGTTTAGCCACCGTGACGTTTCTCGCAAGGCCTCGCATGTTGATTTAATGTCTTAACCCGTTTCGCCACGTTGCTTGAAGTAGTCTGCACGGATAGAGGTTAAGCTGATAGATTGTTCAAAGTGAGCACGCAGAAGATGGAGATACAAAAAGCTTTGTTTTTTCAAATCCCTTGAAAGACATCCGTCTTCCGGCTAGGAAATGATGCAACTCGCAGGCGCCTGTGGGAACAAGGACGTGTGCCACGTGTCCGTTTCCAAGGAAACTTCTGACCCACGTGGCTTGCGCGATTATCTCGCAAACAGCTGGAGGTGTTGCCTGCTGCCTGGTGCACTCCGAAGGCCAGACGCTATCCGAAAGCACCGCACATCTCTCGATGCTCACGTCATCAGCGGCGCAAAGCTGACGCATGCCCTTTTGGGATTCACGATCACCACATCAGAGCAGAAGCTTCCTTAACGAAAGACAGCCGGACATGACTTGTCAAACGGACAACTCTGCAAACCCGCCCGCATGTTGTTTATCCTCGTAAGGCTTCCAACAAAGCGTGATGAGAGAGACTCACCGCGGTGTGGTTGTTGGGAGTGCCGGGCAGAAGCTAAGAAGTATTAGATCCTTCCAAGTTTTGAACTCCACGATTGTAACAGATTGGAGACAACCGGACATGAATTGTCAAAACTGCGAATCTGCAGAATCGCCCACATGTTGTTTATCCTCGTAAGGCTTCCAACAAAGCGTGATAAGAGACCCACCTGCTGTACCCCGGTGTAGTTGTTGGGAGTGAAGGGCAGAAACTTGTCGAGGTCCGGATTGCGCGTGTCCGTGGGGTCCAGTTTCAGCAGAACGGCCACCACCGCCTGCTGTCCCGTGACGCTGTCCTTGTGCACGAAGTGCATCTCGGCGGCGTAGAAGATGCCGTCAAACATGTGCTCGCTGCAAACGGAAGCAACAACTTAGGGTGAGACCTGCCCCTACAAAGCAAGCCTTCCGATTGCAGGCTTTGGAAAACTGCGAATCATCGCGAAGGGTGGTGAGAGGTGCGAAAGCGTCCGAACCCGCCGGAGTCACCGGAAGAGAACGGAAAGAAGGGGATTGGCCGCTTGCACGATTCATTGCATGCACAGTCCGCCCTGTGCACGAAGAAAGAGTCGTAATCGGCTTGCTGGATCGTGACGGTGGCATGTCGCCTCACTGATTCCGTCGTCTTTGTCTAATCTAAGTGATATCCAACGCGGGTAACGGTGCAACACGGCAACGAAACGAGAGCGCCGACGAACAGGGTCGGCGTCGGATCATCTCGCTGCTTTCGCTCATTTAAGACTTGCTTTCGCATCATTCGTCCGATGAACGGTATATCGGACAGACAAGCGAAGTTTCCGTTGCCGTGCTTGGGCAATAATACCTGCAATGTTGTGGCAAGATCATATATTTGTGTTTCAACCCAGATGAGGTGTTCGGTTCCCCGCTCAATGAGTGACCAATTTGCGGTGCGTCCTTTGAAAAGCCTAAGCGGCCAGAGGAATGAACGCATCAAAATTTTCACCTTGGCGTGTGAAAGTGGAACTGTTGCAAGACGAGGCCGGACCCGTTGGTCGTGCTGTAAATGCTGGGCGGCAACTTGACGCTGTTGTTGCCACTGCTGATCACCAGCTGCGATTCAGAGAGCCGGAAGTCAATCATTGGACTAAGCAATGAATATCTCTTTCCGAACAGACTGCCAAACGACGCAGAAAGAGATGCATTCATGGCAGACTTGAGCCAGGGGATGGATTCCAAGTAGGTACGAGGCATTCTCCAGCAGGGCAGAAATGGTTAGGAACAGGCCCGAGTTCTAAAATTCTGGTCAAGATCGCACATAGCTTGAGAAGTACAACCTGCCCAAACGAGCGGGGACTATCGGATTATGTGCCTACCGGCAAGTAAGTGCGGGTTCGTGCCCAATCTGCGGAAGACTCGTCTATGGAGCGGATCGACACCGTGCAGATTATGGCGGAAGACTTCGCTCAGAACGCCCACGAGAGCAGTCAGGCCGTCAATCGCTAAAATCGTCCTACACGCGACAGCAGCTGCGTTTGACAACTTTTGTCGGAGGCACAGTGGTTATAGAAATGTGAAACTAGACTCGGACCATGTGGCTTACCTCCACGACATCTCCCTCGTTTGTGACGTTGAGAAGGCTCACGTTCGTCGCATATGAGAGGTTCAGGGCAGTCAAAGTCGAGGCGGTCGTCGTGTTGCCCGGAATGATGTTCAGCGGCGATTGCATCTGCAGCAGTCAATGTGAGCATAAGCAACAATGTCGTAAGTAGGACAAAAGGATTGCAAAGGAGATACGACGATGTGGGCTGAAGATGCTCCAGAATGTCGAAGAGAAGAAAAACTCTTTCTATGCTGTAAAAAGTTGCTAGATCGGTGTAACATCGGTGCCAGCTTCTCAAGGGGGGAGGTACATGATCCTCTGGCAGCTCGGACTGTCTTAAACGCCGGAAAAGCGTTTCAACACGTGCTTCAAGTTAGGGGCATCCCACTCGTAGATAGACGGAGACGCTTTGACTGGCCCAGCAAACAATTAGTGTTATTATTGTTATCACGAGTAGTTTTACGATGCCAAGGAATCTGAAAGAGCATCTTACATGCCATTTACCAGAAAAACAAACTAGTCCCCAGAGGTACTACCCCCCTTCTACAGGCAGAGAGTGCAGGCTATTTCAGGGTCGCTACAACCTTCTGCACTGCAAGGTAGCAGGTTTACTTGATTCCAGATCACCAGGAAAACCCGTTGTTTTCCTGAGTACAGAAAATACCAATCTTGAAGACAATCGCCCGTAACACGAAAGCGGCAGACAACGGCTCTTTGCAAATGTGTGGAGCAGACTCCTTCACAGCGACGGGCCATGTCATCTTACTCAACATCCCAGATTGCAAACCCGTCAGTCAAGCCTTGCTTGACGTCTAGTTGTGGTGCTCTCTTCCCGGTTGATCTGCCTTATCTCTTCTCGAGCAACTTAGGAGACAGAAGCGTTTCTGCTTACCGTGCCAGTGCCGCACAGGGAGGCGTTGAGTCCAGGGATGTAAGGCCAGTCGACGCCTCCGAGCGTGTGGTTGAAAGCAAGTTCTTCAGCTCCCAAGACTGTGAAAACGGAGTTGCAAACAGGTAGCTTAGCTCACCATCCGCTGAGGTCAGCAGATGTTTTCTTCTGGGCACAAGCACTTTATAATGTTAGAGTTCTTTGAGACTGCCCTTCAAAGTGGGTGCTTATGCCACAGAGAAGAAGCGCTGACCTTCTGTCGTTGGCATCTGCTTTTGCGAACTTCTGACCAGGCACAGTCTCAACAAACTGGTCTTCTCTTGTGAGGCAACAATGGTCGCCTGCAATGGTCTGGATTCCAAACAAGATGCGCAGCTGCATGACTTCACTTTGGGCAATACGAAGTACAACATTTCTATTCTGGGCACAGATAATGTGGAATCCACAAGACCTCCAAACTTGTACAGTCTGCAGGTAGCCCCTTGATCAACCACTTCAGCTAGCCTCGCCACCAGCTCGGTACAGTGTAGCTCTTGTTCACTTCAGCTTCCTGAGTCAGGTACTTGGAGTCGAATAGAAATAGGCAGGACTCGCAACCAAGAACAAGGTAGACAGCACCGGGTCTAACAAAAGACCTACGTCCCTCACCTGGACCAGCAAAGAACAAGGCCGCGACTAGGGCAGGAAGTAGCAAGCCCCCGACCCGTGACTGTTGAACAGAATGCCTCGCCATTGTGACTTTGAGCTATGTGCAACGGGTGTGCGACAGTATCTGGTGGCGCCCGAAAGCAGCTAGCTCCTTGTATCAAACAACGTGCTAAGAGAAAAGAGCGCTACCGTACGGTAATTCCTGAATGCTGATTTGAAGCCTGGCAGTTCTTCACCTTGTGAAAGTTGGAATGCAAGTCTTCTTTCTGTGCAATTCTGTGCACCAGCTCGCATACGAAAGGGATCGGATAAGCAACTGAAGTAAAGTTTCCGACCCACCTGCAGGTGACTTTACTTTTCTGCTGCATGTGCCTGCTTCTGAGAGACTTCCTGACGGATTGAGCAGCAAATGCTGATTTAACAACGCGATGCAAGATGGGGTCTTATTGATAAGCAGTTGGGAACACAGGTTTTGGAGTGTTGGGTCACGTAACTAACGTTTAGCAGATCACCGTTCAGCCTCAGGTCGCCCCACGCAGGGGCACATTCTACAGACTCCACTGCTCCAGAGCCCCACTAGGCCCATCCATGCATGCCCGGCCACCGGGGTACTGCAGGGCCTCCCGCTACACATACATATAAGCTATGCGCAGCCCAGCTGCCAGATTGCGGCTGGAAAGAAGAGCTATTACTGTGAATATCGACGACACCACGATGATGCGACATTTGTCGTGACGGCGACAAGTCCGCTCGGCCGTACTTACTTCACGCTGTCACAGGAACGGATGGAGTAAATGCGGGACCATATGGGTTTATATGAGTGCGACTAAAGGGCCGGCAGCGCGGCAATCAGGGAATAGTATCAATCCAGGCCGGCCTGGATCCAGGATTCCAGGCCCGCAATCTCCGGATAATCCAGGCCGTCGATAACACGGTCCTGCCAGACCCTCCAAGTCCCGACAACTTTCAGGCTAATATTTTCAGCCGAAGTTGCCCTGGTTCCCGGGACTGGCCGGCAGTTCTACCGGGTACTCAGGTCTCAGCTAACAAGTTCAATAACCTATGGTCTAGCACTGCTAGCCACGTTCTACCCGGTTAACATTTCAAATCTACGTCAAATTCACGTCAAAATTACTGTACAGGTACAGTTACCTAAACCTGATTCACATGTAAATTGTACAGTCACAATTTCCACTGCGCTCTCAGTTGGGTTTTAATTTCATCATTCAGTTACAGTTACAGTTACAGTTACAGTTACGGCACAGTTACAGTAAATGTTACAGTTCCAGGTAACATTATTGTTTAACAGTGACAGTTACAGGTATAGCTTAATAAACACAGTTACACAAATACCAGAGAAATCAATAGTACCGGTAGTACGGCCTCCACTGGGAGATTGCGGGCCAGTCCCGGGAACCGGGGCAGGGTTGTGAGGCTGAGACTTTTAGCCTGAGGCTGTCGGAACTCGGTAGGACCGTGTTATCGACGGCCCGGACCATCCGGAGATTGCGGGCCTGGATCCAGGCCGGCCTGGATTGATACTATCCCATCAGTACCGTGGGTTTCACTTACTGGATCGGACGATGCCTCTCAGATCAGCACCAGATGCTAACTACAAGTACGTACTAGTAGGTAGTAGAAGGTGGTTGAGGCTTGCGCTGCAACTGCAGTGGGACAGACTCGAAAGTACAAGCAGTGACACTTAGGATTAGTAAGATAATCAGCCTGGGACGTGGGATGACGGCTCGGTACCCGTCCGATATCGACATTGACGTAATGAATTTTAAAAAACATTTTAGATTTGTGAAATCAGTCCATCCGGACAGCTTTCGAGCCAATGATGCGGATATGCAGGACCCTCCAATCCGTGATATACCTGTCCGCAAAACGTTTCATTTCCTTGCTTCAAGTTTTCACACATGCGATTAAAAAAATGGAGCTACTGGACCAGTGTCAAGTCCTTGGCTACAATCTATCGCGCGCGTTCACCTATTGCTCGCGATCCTTACACTAGCTGCTTCCGACTCAGCCAGACTTTCCGGCTCAAACCTCAATAGCTAGCTGCAAACAAACAAAGCTTGGGAATGATTGTCGTTGCTTCCTGTCCGTGCTGTTTGTGCCCGTCATGCCACTTACATCGTATCTACGAGCGTTTTCTCTCAACTTAACCTCTTCGAGTGTACAACAACCGCAATCAGTACTGCATGTTCTCTTCGACAATGACTAACAATGGCGCTGGAGCTCGCGTTCTCTTGTTGGAAAAAACTAGTCCGGTCCCGAGCTACGAGGACAAAAAATTGGGCGACTACCTAGCTGTCAACGCATGCGCGCATATGCAATGCTTTTGAAACCGTACAATACAACCCGGCCGCTTTCCAGCGGAAGCCCGCATCCAAAACTCATGACCATCTCAGGCTTGGTCGCCGTCGTCCATGGAGTGTCTGGCAATGGGTGGCTCGCTATCTGGCTCATGATCGTACTTCAAGTTCCTGCAGAGACATCCAAAGAATCGTCTTTACAAATCCCAGCCGGACCCACTTTCTGTCGACGACATCCATTCGGTACGAACCTCGGACCTCTACCCTCCCTCTCCTGAAAACGCCATCAGAAAGGGAAAACCCCAAAAATCTGCTCAAGCTTATCGGACAATCGGAAAGTACAAGTCCAGATATCTACACAACTGAATTCTATAGGCGCATCTAGGATTTGTGAGAAAAGCGCGGCGGCCTTTTTTTGGAAATCCAGCAGTTCACAAACAGAGTCCGTCTCGGTTTACCAGCAGCCCATCAAAAAAAGGCAAGCAAACCTCACTCGTCCTTACTACGAGCCAAACAATGTCGCATACCCACCTGTGGAAAGAAGTTGACCAGCATTTCATCGAGGTAATATAAAGGGTGTGCGGGAACCTCACTCGTCGCTAAATACATGCCAAACAGCACAACCATCCCAATTCCCGGGATAGGTGGGCCTTCGATAACCTACAGGTTGTGACAGCTACAGCTCGCAAACGAATTTCATGGGAAAAACTGAGATCATAATACACTCGGGGCATCCCCACCTGTGGAACAGGTGCGCCCAGAACTGTCCGTATTTCAGCCAGTGCCGTGTCCGCGGCACCGTGACCCCGCCCCCGGTCGACTGCACCGGTTCCTCGTTCCAGTGCTTGAGCGCGTAGTGCACCGTCAGGCACAGGGGCGCGGCAGACAGCCCGTGGACGATCACTGACGTCAGCACGACGAACGAGACCACCGCAAAGACGCGGTCCTCGCCCAGCTCGGAGTACGCGCCCGCCGCGTAGAAGAGCGCGCCGACGCCGATGGGGCCGTAGAAGCCGCCGAACGCGGCCTGAAAATGAAGGGTTTCAAAAGCTGGGAAAATTGGGTAGTACTCGGTTTCTGCTTCCAAGATCTTCTCGGTAAACTGGTCGATAAATGCGCCCGCTGCGTAAAAAGGATAAGGCCGTAGAAGCCGCCGAACGGTTCCTGGAGGGACGGGAGTTCCGAGGTTCAAGAGAAATGGGCACTCGCAACGCACAGTACTTGTCCGCAGGGTTTGCTCAGCACGTTGGCTGACTTGATCACGAAAATGGGCAGTGGCCCTTTGTCAGAGTGCTCTCTCGTCGGGGGTCGTAAGAGGGGCGCAAACTCCCCCCGAGAAGCAGCTCAATCGCCCCCCGGATGAAAAAGTAGTGGGGGTGCCATTTCCCGGAAACGAGGTGCCAAACGCCGGGGGCGTCGAAACAGCGGGGAGAAAGTCCCCCGGGAAGAATTGGAAGTCCGCACGTTTCTTTCGTGTCGCTACGGCCGCGGCAAGGCGGCTTTACCAGGTGGCTGGTATGGCAGTCGAACTCCAGCAAGAGCGGAGGAAGCTAAGTCATCAACCGAAGACTTTCCCCATTCAGAACCTCCTTAGATTGGGAAGTTCGACCACAACTCTGAGCTTCGGCTGCCCTTCGGTCTCAAGTATTGGCGGGCAACGATCATAAGCGAACGTATTCACGGCCGTCTACAAAAGCTCGAAGGCTTCCGCTTCCTGGAGAGACGCTGCGTGAACTCGCTTCGACAAGCGAGTCCGGTCCGGCCGCACCAGGCTGGAACTCACAGGCTCTAAATCAGCTAGAAATCTTTAATGAGGCGATCAGGACGAACTTTCCTTTCCGACAAGCGTCCCGCTTGAGCTTTCTCCCGATTCTCCCGCCTTACCTCAGTCAGAGTTGCCCGCAGGTCATTGTGCCGCGCAAACGCCGGGATCCAGGGGCTCAGCAGCAGCACGACGGGCGTCCGCCGCAGGAAAATCACCGCCAGGCTGAACAGTATCAGCTTCCCTATCCCGATCTCGACCCACTGTGGGTACGGCAGGATCGCCCCGAAGAAGACAAAGTATGAGATGACGATAATGAGCTCAATGCCGCTCTTGGCTTCGTACTTCTCCCTCTCTCGCTGGGGCTCGCGCGCGGTGTATGCGATGCCGGCAACGGTCGCGGCGAGAATGCCTTCAGCGCCTGCGATTTTGGAATATCAGGATTTCAATGTTTCGAGGATCAGGCTTAAGGTTCTTGCTGGAGGGGTTTAACTGAGGACGTCTGGAAGATTCTCGTCTGCACTGCGGTTCTCAGGATGCCTTCAACGCCTCCAGATTCAGAGGTTTGGACGTTTGGGCCGAAGATCGTAATCAATCCTTGCCAAGGAGATCTCGCAGTTTTCCAACCTACTCTACGATCTCGGCAAAAGGTTCACCGCCCGTCTTTTATAAATTGTTTCCCGACAGCGACGGTCGCGGCGAGGTTGCCTTCAGCCCCTGCAGATTCAGAGGTTTGGAAGTTCGGGCTTAATTCCTTCGCCGAGGGTTTTGGTCAAGGAAGATCTGAAAATCACAATCCACTATACAATAATACTGTAGGTCTTTGAAGAGAAGAGCTTCATCTCCTACCGTTCGTTAAACTTTCTCCACAGGTTACAGGTACGCAATGCCGGCTACGGTCGCAAAAAGAGCCGTAAGGACGTGAAGGAGCGGGACACAGGTAAGAATGGGGTAGAATTAAGCGTGGGCTGAAATAGCGGAATTAACATAGACCGGATTTTAAGACACAATAGGACTCTCAGTGCCAGTCAGAGAAATGACAACTCCGAATGCAACGACGGACGCAGCGAGGACGCCAAAGGAGTCCGAACGAAGTTGCGGCTTAAACAAGGCGACTTTGAATACCGAACGGTTTGAAACGCGAGAAGGCCGTCCTGGAAGCACTGCCGACGGTGCATCGTGGTCCTAAGAATCAGATTCAAGCGAGAGGCGTGCGAAGCTTGGAGGGCAGATCTCCGGGTTAGGAAGCCCAAGGTTAAGTCGAAGCTTATGTTTGCCTTGGCTTGGACTTTTCTTCCTTGAGAATCTGCGAACAGCTGCGGGCCTCTTACCGACGAGCGTGACGAGTCCAAGGACGCCCAGCGCCATTCCGATGACGTGAGCCAGGAACGAGTCCTGCTCCTCCAGCTTGTAGCGGCGGCCCCACGTGTGAAGCAGCCGGCAGAAGCCGCCGTAACATGCGCCCATCACGATGCCCAGCAGAATCTGTTGAACAAATAGAACATCTTCTAGTTCTGATTCAAAGTCTTGCCTAGGGTTTGGAATTGGTTTACGTGGATTTGGAGTTTGGTTTACGTGGGTTAAGAATTGCACCTGGTCCTTGGAGAAGACCAGAAGCCAGAAGCCGCCGCAACACACGCCCAACACGATGCCCAACAGAATATGTAAAGAAAATAGGAATGATCATAATCTAGTTTCTGATCTTAGAGCTTGGCTAAACATTCGAATTCGCCCCGCCGAAACAGGCGCCCAGGACATCGGTAAAGCAGTGGCTGGGACAGGGCACTGGGTTGAGATGGTTTTCAAAAACTCCAAAATCTCGTCAACACGAAGCAAAAATCCAGTGTGCCGCCAGTCAAGGTAGCATGTGGCCTGAGAGTTGGACTTTGCCACCATACTTCCAGTCGGACGAGACCTTTCTGTGCTTGGAGACGGCATGGGACGTACTTGCAACCCCGCGCAATGACGAAGCCCTCGCCCAATTACCATTGCCAATCCTGATTGTCAAAGGTGCGGGTTCCTCGCTGACATTACGCCGCAAATCTCTCAGAGACTCAACGAAAAGGCTGAGGTGCCTGTGCTGACGTCACCCCACAGAATGAGAGTTAAATGAGACGGTGCCTCACCTCGTACGCCCACGCCTCGTAGAACCAGTGGCCGAAGGCGGACCCCGTGCTCAGTCTCGGCTTAAGCAGGAGCATCACGATCGCGAAGTACGGGTACGACAACCCGTCATTCACCGCAGCCTCCGCTTGAAGAACGTTGCGGAGTTCCGCAGGGAGGTACCTGCGAAAGATCGGAGTAACGTTGACTTGCGGCTATGCTGATCTGCTTCACCATTCTGGGGAAGGGTGCGGCTGGTTTGGGGTTTAGGGTAAACTTCTGTAGACTCATTGTAGTAAGCTCAATTTGTAGTAGTAAGATGACACTGCAAAGACTTCAACCCAAATAAACGTCCAAAGCACCCGAACCCACCCTGATCCCCATACTAGCTTTACCCGTCCCAGTACTATAACTTGAGCTTTCTATACCTACTCTCGAGGACGATTCCTTGGGTGGATACAGGTGCGGAGGAAGTTAATATTTGGTTTAGACTTTCGCTCAGTCTGAGCCGAAGGCATTGATACAACTCAAGGTAGGCCTAGCGCAACAGAATCGAGACTCGTGTGGAACAGCAATGCGCACGCGCTTTAGAAACCGACAGATAGAGCGACTTCCACTTTAAGATAACTTCGGATCCAAGGAACGCCCTTGCGACTTCTGCGATGCGAGGAGTAAGGACTGCTCCTTACGAAATACAGTGCGCATCTTTCTTTTTGCAAGAGGATCGGTTCGTAGATTGGAGCCATGCTGTTTCATTCAGGGTCGCACTAGCTCTCGCCTTCAGGGATAGTGAAGCATCAAAACCGGCACCCCAGATTCACGTGCTTCACAGCTGGAAAACCCTTGCGAGGTTCCCCAATCCAGCTCACTTGTCCCAGGCTATGCCTACTTGGGAACTGCTCAAATAGCTCACATTTCGTTTCTCATGCATATTCCAGACACCAGGAATAGTGACACTCAGACCAAGAAAACGAAGCAGGGACAAGCAAAGGAAGCAGATTAAAAACACCGGGGAACCGAGGCATGCAGATCAAAAGCAATCAGAGCTCACGTTTCTGCAAAGCGCCCATCCACAATGGTACTCGCCAGCACAGGGTCAGTAGGGATCAGCGTTGCCGCAATGAGTAAACACTGCAACAACCCAAACTGCCCCGCAAAGACTGCGGCTGTGAAGCCAAACGAGACGGCCCAGGTGAGGAGCATCACAGGCCCAACCAGCATGAGCACCGAAAACCAGTTGCGCTCGTAGTATAGGGTGGGGAGGGAGAGGGCGATGGAGATCGACTGGATTGCCAGAATGATCCGGGAAAACTGCAAAAAGGGAAAATGTGAGGGTTTGAGTAACTTGCAACTGGAAATTGCACTGCAGACGCCTTGGACACGCACCAGAGAATGGAGCAGATAGAGCAGAGATTTTCATGTGATCCACCTCTGTAGATTTGGCTTGGATAACCTCGCTAGCAGGCGCTTGCCAATGGAAACACAGTGTGTTTCTGGAAACAGGCCCCTGCAAAACGATTGAAGGATTGATGGAGAACACCAGAGATTAGAAAAAGTCATGAACATTAAGACTTACAACGGGGGGAAGACCCCTGCCATTGGATGGAACAATGGACAGAGCACCGGAGATCAGAAGAAGTCCAGAACATCAGGACTTGACAAGATTCCAACATCTGTCGAACGACTCTGCCACTGCGCAGACAGTGCATTCACAGCACCTGTGAGGAAAGTAGTGCTTCAATTCTCTGGGCTGGGAAGCTAATACTAAGAGGAGCACGTCTTGCCCTCAAAACATTGAGGGCAATCTTCTGCATTGAGAACATCCTCCTTCAGCTTGATGCTGTCCAGACAGATTTAATAGCGCTCCAATGCAACTCAGACCCTCGTTTTAAGCACTCAATCTACACTGTCACGCAAGAAGCTCAACTCTTAAGGAGAATATCTCTTTTGCACTGACAGATACAAAATGATCCCAACTGCTTACCTGCTCAACAACTGTGTACAGTGCTTTGCCTGCAAATGCGTCTTGAGGATCCACTATGCCAGCGGCGGCTGGCCCAATGATCACCCCTATAGCTGTGGCTGCCATAACCTCGGATATAAGCAGTGTACCTTTCCAAAACCTGGCTGTGAAAGAATAGAGGCATATGATGGCGCCTGCTATGGCAAGGACTGCGTGGAGCCATAAGTGGTGAGCAAGGTGAATCATCTTTTGAGCAGCTGGCACTTGAAAGGGCTAAAATTGGCCTCCTGGAAGTTGGATACTGTTGCACAACTTGGTGGTTGTATCAAAGGTTGCAAGGGTTTCTTCTGTGGTGCTACATGTAGCGTCCAATGATCTGTTGGCTGTTTGAATGCCTCAGAGGCTGAGGCTCTACAGTTCAAGCTATCAGTTCACCTTTACAATCAAGAATGTATGAAGGTTGCTACAGTGTGGAGCATAGTCAACAGAAGAATCCTCTTGTTCAGGTTTATGAGCACCACCAGACAGCTCAATCTTCTTGAGAGATCGGCTGAAGATCAGAGTGGTTTCAGAAGTAGACCTGGACACTTCCAGGGCTTGATATGCATGGAATGCTAACGTCCTGTGCAAGAAGCCGCCGTCAGCTTTGGACCAAGGTGGCACACTCCCTTTGTAGCAACACTCTGAAGTTGGCCATTCGCTCAGCCAACCCGAAGTGTTTCGATGTACAGCAACCCCCTCGCTCTTCCTTGCATAGGATTGGCGCCACCTAAAGACCACTTTTCAGCACCCGCTACTGTCTCCTTCTACATTGATAGGGGACAGGCGTCTACAGCAGCAAAAGCAGGCTTCCTCCAAGGCTTATTCCAAATGGTGGCTTCTTCCAGAGAGCTTCCAGGTACTGTATCTTTCTCCTCTCCATCCAACACTTTTCAAGCTTCCAGGTCAGCCGCCAAGGCATCAAGATTTACAGGCAGATTCAGATGAAGATTTCTCCACCCACTTAGATTTTGCGGGAAGTGGATGTGGTCCCCCTTGTTCCAGCTGGGGGAGATGTGGTCATGGCGCAGTCCTCACTGCTCATGGCATTGCTCAGCCTGTGGACATCCTGCATGCACCAAATTGACCAAAACTTGGTAGCATACCTAGGTACCTACATACCTAGCTAGAGCATACCTACAGTAGGTAGGTATCTAGCTGGAGGCTAGCTGGCCCAGGGCCAAAGACATGCCAGAAGTAACTCTACTGCTGAAGTTCGACACCAGCGTTGCATTCTGAAGGCAGCTGGCAGTGGTAGGTGACCGCTCGCAATTAGGTACCTAGTGTCAAAAAGAAGTTGTAGTTGTAGCCCGTCTCCTCCATCAATGCTCATATTATGCCCGCGGCTGTTGGCGCGGCCTGACGAATGTCGTGCACGCTGCGCCACTTGTTTCCCTTGGCATGCCAGCTGGCAGCTTCCAGCGAACAGGATCTTCCATTGCCGCTTTGCACAACGGCGGCTGGCAAAGTACCGTTTCTGCCAGGTAGACTCCATCTCATACGGTATTTGCAAAGCTCCTTAGATTGATGCCGTTTGTAGTATTAACGGCGAAGGGCAGCTGCCAGCGGCATACATGCAAAATTTAAGCATCGAATTCGCAAAATTTTACACAAAACAGCATCCTGGATCAGGCTCCGCCGAGTTGAGCAGCACCAGGCTGTTTCAGTGTTAGTCTCGGGCTCCCCATTGTCAGGCTCCAAGCCGGCCGTGCATGGTGGGAGGTGGCATGGCGGCCCTTGCGTGATACTTACAGCTTTGCTAGCTCGTGCTTGAATGCAACCGCTTCGCAGCACTTGGCGGCCTCCAAGGCCAGCTCAAAAGGTCCGCTCAATATCGTCAAAAGGCAGCCTTCTGGTGGCTTTCTTTCAAGCAACTGCCAAACAGCCTGCGAGGTGGAGACATGATGTGCACTGCGCCTCACAGGAAAACCAACCCCTGTTTTCAGAAGATGGATTGCTAGCTGCAAAACTAGGACTTCCTGCTGCTACTAGTTCCTTAGCTTGTGCTCCGACGTTAATGAGATTGGTCCAGCTAGTGCGCTAGTTGGTGTTATTGCCCCTTGAGCAATGGGAGCAATCAATGTGACGTAGAACGTTCTAATGTGCTCAACATTATTGGTCCAGCTCTTCAAAATCGTGCACGAGTCTGCATTTGATTGATCCGTTTCCTAAGGTCAGCTAGTTTAGTGCATCTTTTTGTAATACACAATGGGGGCACTCAAGCTGAAGTGGACCTGATTAAATACACTCTGTGGGAGCAGAGGTAAAGTGAGGTCGGACGTAATGAAGGGATTAGGCTGCAGCCATGCACTGAGATTGGTCCTGATTCTGTGGGCACTTCTTTCCGTCTACCATTTTGTGAGCTACCTCCAGTCCACCGATGAGAAAGGAACCGCACGAGCTGCTTTAAGCGATGCACGGGTGGCATTGGATATGGCGAGCCCAGACGCCTGTGCAAGCAAGCACTTGTACGTATACGAGGACTTAGTGACTCCGTATAACGAAGAGATTGTGGAGAGATGTGGAAACCTGGGAGGTCACAGCATGTGCGATGCTCTGCAAAACGAGGGGCGCGGCGAGCCAGACGCAGAGCTATGCAGGCGGGAGGCCCTTAACCGAGCAGGGTCAAAAGAGGCTTCCGCTACGGCAGACTCCAATGCAGGATCGGACGTTGTGGTTAATTGCAGCTGGTTCCGCACTAACCAGTTTTCTCTAGAGGTCCTGCTCCACCACCGCCTGCGGGGGCACCCTTGCCGCGTGGGGGACCCGTCCGAAGCCCAGCTCTACTACGTGCCTTTTTACACCGGCCTCGAGATTAAGCGTTCGTGGGGCAACCAGGCCGCCGCGGTGGACCGCTTTAACCGGGTCCTTAACCCGCTGGTCACCTCCCCATACTTTCAGAAGCGCAGGGGTTTGGACCATTTTATGGCGTTTGGGAGGATGGGGATGGAGTTTGGATTTTGTCACGGGTTTGTGACCTGGTTAGGGAACGTGACCAAGCTGATGATTGAGGCGGGGTGGAATCAAGAGGGGTTCAGGACGGGGAGGGAGATCGGTGTGCCGTACCCGACAGGGTTTCACCCAGCCGAGCTGGCGGATGTGAATAGGCACCGGAGAAGCGTGAGAGGGGCAGCCAGAGATATCCTGGTGAGCTATGCGGGGGCGGTGGGAAGGTGCGTAGTTATCACGTTAGTCCCCTTTCCCTTTTTGATGGATGATGAGTCGAAGCCTACCTGCGCTACGAAAGCAGCTTCGCTGATGACGGGCAGCCTTTATTGTTGAATTGCATTACGTCTTGCTTTGTTCTGTAACCCAGCTTGTGAGGGGCCGGGGATTAAAACACTTGGGCTTTCAAACAGGCTGTACTAAAGTCGACGAAGCTGGGCTGTCAAGGCAGTTCGCTTTTGACGCCTCTGCTTGACATTCTGGATCGAAATTTACACGGCTTTCGCTTTCATGTGGGCTATGCTCATTCAGGACTTGCGAGAATCACATCTGTTGGCAGTTCTTAGGTTGCGGGGAGATTCTCCTCGAATCTACCGCTTCTTTCGACAGCATTGTGTTGCAGTTGCTCTCTGCGAAATCACACATTTTGGAATATCTATAGTACCTACTGCACGGGCCGCTTCATTTGGCCCATAGTTGCTCATTTACAACAGCTGGCGGTTCCCTCAAATCACCAGAATACGCTGGAAGCATATTCTACCCGTCAAGATTCAATAGCTCTGGGTTTGTTGAAGATTATCGTCGTATAGGCCGTGTATACCCCGGGCACAGCGTTTTGACGCCGCCCACTTGCGTGCACAGGAAGACGTCCGTTACCGAAACGAGAATAGGGTCCAAATGATCCGGTTTTACTCGTTATCAAAACTTTTCTGTTTACGCAGACCGTACGGCATCTGGGAGCAGCGGTATTGCAGCGCCCATTTGCGAGCACACGAGTACGTTCACTATCAAAACAACAGTAGCGCTCAGATTACTTTTTGCACACCTCGATTCGAAGATATTTCTCGTCCTACAGACCGTACGGCATCTGGGCGCAGCGTTTTGGCACCGCCCAGTTGCGCGCCCGGCTGGCGCACGAGTGCGAGCGAATGCGCGACAAGTGCCGCTTGGTGGTCTGTGACTACGTCCAGGACAACTGCTCTCCGAGCGCCCTACACGACCTTTTCATGCGGTGAGGGTTCGTCCTCACCTCTGGTCCGAAGTGAGATTTAAAGGTCCAGATTTGGTTTTGAAAATTGGGCTGGAATTATCGGTTGAGGAGTAAGGAGAACGGTCGAGCCGTCACTTCACCGCTTTTTCAGATCAAGTTCGTTGGTGGACGTCTGTTCGAGGATTATCAGGGATGCAAGTAGATTCCCTTGAGGGATTTCGAGGCGTATCGCGCTCTTTGGAGCTCCTAGTAGCACTTACGACCAGTGCCGTGTGCTGCTTCTAATATCAATCACAGGAGTCTCGCTTGAAGCGGGGCAGAAAGGACTTCCATTTATCCACCCAAGCATACTGCGAAGACTAGAACATGCGGTCAACACATGAAACTTTCGCAAATGATCGTCCCTTCATTTGTTCCTGAACCGCGCCTTTTTACCTGTCACATTGACGTGAACGGCCTTATATGAACTCATGTGGGTGTGAGAAACGTCCCATGTTTCGACGCCTGGCTTCGATACGACCGCATTCTCGTCCAAAACGTTTTATGAACACCGCCTCCCGCAGAACATCCACGAAGCAACTGAAGCTGGGTAACGGTCTATTGTCGTTTCTTGTGATTCGCATCCCTGGTTGCGAAGTACATGTCGTTCGCGCTCTGACACGTGTAACCGTCTCGCAGGTCCACGTTCTGTCTCCAGCCGCAGGGCGACAGCCCCACCCGGCGGTCCACTTTTGACGCGCTCCTCGCGGGGTGCATTCCCATCTTCTTCCACACGGACAGCTTCCAGTCGCAGTACGAGGAAGCTCTCGGTGTGAACGCGTCCGAAGTGTCGGTTTTCATTGCCCCAGAACGTCTGGTCAGTGAGAGCTGGTCTTTATATGCAGAGCTAGAGGCGATCGACGAGGCAAGGAGGAAACGGATGCAGAGCGCGATAGTGGACCTCGTGCCGAGGATTGTGTACGGAAAGGAACATGTCGGGTCGGCATGGAAAGACGCCGTAGACATTGCTCTAGAGGGCGTGATGGAGAAGGCTGCGGTAGGCTCGCGGTAGGATCGTAACTCTGAGGGGGTTTGTAGACCGTATTGAGTCCGTCCACCCCCGCAGTCAATTCGACTGCCATGGTTACGGTAATTGACCTAGTTGATGGTTTTGCTGCTTAAGGGAATGGCGGTACTTAGATTTCAGCCAAAAGAATAGAAGTGCGAGTCATTGAGCTCCTGTCTGCTTTGCCAAACAGCGGTTTGCAGATGCAAGCAACCTGCCCCCCCATGGCCTCTCTATTCGAAGCACAAACAACTCATTTGAGTGAGTTGCTGTTCTATGGATATGAATTTGGCACAGAAATCTGGTATATAGTTGGCACGCTCTAGCAATTCACATGATGCGCTGGTCGGTTGCTGAGCCCATGCTGGACTGCACGCACGCGTGTTACCATGCATGTCACAGCTCATGTATACTGATTGCGACGGGCCGGATATGGATACCTAGATGAATCATTATTTGCAATGCATAAGTTTTGGTATATTGAGCATGATCCGCGGCAGCTGCCACCGCGGGCGCCTATATATATTTCAATATATGCGTACTCATGCAGGCGGCTGCGCAAATTGACCCACAAATTTTCCCGGTTTATAATTGCCCGGATGCAACCAATGAAAAGGCGGCCCACATGCAGTATCGATCTATAGGAAATTTGATGCCATGATTGGATATCTAGCTATAAGTGTTGCGTTAACCGTCCAGATCGATCGCAGGCCGCGCCTGTGAATGATGCAAGAGCAATCATGTCATGCATGTCGAGTCAAAACGATATCAAACATGCAGTCCAGTCGGTTATGGTTTCATATGCGCTGTAGAGCAATTGAAAGGGGGCCGCGCGCACGTCATGCACGCGAGCCTAAGGGAGAGCTTAGCTTCGCTTAGCTAGCTTATTGTGCCTGTACCAAATGTTAAAGCCTTCACGACATCATTGCAATCAGCGCGCAAAATCGGCAGACGTTGTCGTGCCGCTTAGCTACACGAATGCCATCCGGTTAGTCGTGTCACCCAAAGTAGAACACGGCAAGAACAACAGCTGATGTACGTACTGTAAACATATCTGTTTGCCAAACGCTGGACCGATTATCATACCAGTAGATGGATTGTCTGTTCGCTTTGTGTTCGAACGTCCTCGACAGCAGTAGTCGGACCACCCGGCTAAGTAGTCTGCATCGGCGTATGTACTCTGCATCAATAATACCTGCGGGACCTATTCAAATGACGATTATGCTTAGTGCCCGGCCCGTATTCGACTGCTTTTGTGCGTTGGGAGTTAAAAAGACAAAGCACCCTGATCGCTTCAATTACTCAGCGGCAGTTCGCGTAGAGGAACCGCTCTCAAGTCGCGCGATCGGCGGCTGATGCTCGGGCTCGTGCTCGTATCGCAGAGTCCTGCAAGTGTCACAGAATTAGATAAGACCTTTCATCCAACCAAGGACCGTGTTTCAAAGAGCCTCGATAGGAGGCACTGAGTGCAGTCCACCCTTTCAGACGACGTAATGCTGCGGCCCTTGGGCCTTGAGCGATATTGTGAGCTGGCAAACAAACTGACTTCCTTTACGGTTAACAAGAGCACGTGTTCCCCATAAGAAGCTCGAGAGCAAAGCGTTTCGCAGCTCCTCACCACGTCTTACAGAAGATTCGCGAAAGTTCCAACCTACCGTAATGCAAAGTCGAAGCCCAAGCGTACGTTCCGGCACCCTTCTCACGATTTTCGATCTAGAATCTTTGGAAACGGGGGACCTTAAATCTGCCCACCTGTGAAAGAGGTGCGCCCAGAAGTGCCCGTAGTGCAGCCACTCTTTGAGCCCCGGAAGGGGCCCCCCGGTCGGTTGGATGGGGTGCTCCTTCCAGTGCTTGAGCGCGTAGTGCAGGCTCAGGGAGAGCGGCGTTGCGGAGAGTCCGTGGACGATTACGGACGCCAGCACGACGAAGGACAGTACCGCGAAGACGTCCTCGTTTTCGACGAAGCGGAACGCGAGCGCCGCGTAGTAGAGCGTGCCAACGCCGATCGGGCCGAAGAAGCCGCCGAACGCGGCCTGATCAGAGAAGAAGGGGAGAGCGTTTGCATTGTCGAGGAGAAGCAGAGCGTCGGGAAGGGTGCGCGGGATGAGACTGGCTTGGTCTGAACCTGCGCAAGAGTGTCGGGAAGATCTACAAGCAGCCCGGAATCTCACGTGGCAAAAGCACTTGGTTCTTGGCAGTTGCCCGGAACAGGAGAGTGCATCTGTCGGGTGTCTGGAAATGTCAGATTGCACCATACAGGGCAGCGGGGCATGAACTCATCGGACTTTTAGGCTGGAGAACTGCAAGGGATGCGAATGTAAAAAATTGCTAAGCATCCTTCGCAAGCTCGCTTTGAAACAGAAAGTCGCACTCTGAGAAAGTATGTCGCCGAAACGAAACGCTTGACGTCGGCTTCTTCCCCCTTCTGATTACTGTGCATGCTCAAGGATCTTTCACATGAAAGCAGCCGCATATCAGGTGGAACGAATCAGCTAGAGAATGACGTATCCTGCTTACGATCCTTTCTGAGTTGACAAAAGACTCGTGCTTGCATGTGCTGACAAGCACTCGTGTTCCAGAAGCGTGTCTGGCCGCGCTCCCACTCTGGGAAAGGCATGCTTCTTCTTGAACACATATTGCGTTAGCCCCACCGCACTAAGGGTGGGCCACAGCTTTGCACGCTGAGTTTCAAGGTAAAGCTAGGAGGCGGGACAGCACGGACGGATATCTGTTCAGCTGTGATCTCCAAGAGCAAACTTTCGAGAATAAGCGGCTTGAGAATTGCAATACCTGCCCCAGAATTCATAAATCAGCCCAGAATCGACTTTTAACAAACAAATGGAATTTGCAAAAAGATACTTCTTTTCTTTGTAATAAGATCCTAAGAGTAAGAAGGAGAATCACGCAAGGAACAGCTTATCAGTAAGCGAGCAAGTCAAAAGAGTACAAGCACACGCTGACAGCCAACCACACCCAGCGAACCCGACTCTGAGTCCAAAAAGGCTGACATCACCCGCTGACGTTGGTGAGCGTCACCCTGAAGTCCTCGTGGGGGTCCAGCGCCGGAATCCAGGGGCTCAGCAGAATCACTGCGGGCATCCGCCGTAGGAAGATTACCGCCAGGCTAAAGAGCGATAGCCGCCACACGCCGATCTCGTCCCATCGCTTATAGGGCAGGATCGCGCCGAAGAAGACAAAATACGTCATCACGATGATTGCTTCGATGCCGGCGCGCGCCTCGTACTTTTCCGCTTCTTCGGCGGGTTCACGCGCGGTGAAGGCGATACCCGCGACGGTGCTGGCTAGGACGCCTTCCGAGCCTGCGGAAAACAAGAAAATACTTTCAAAACCGTTTGACGTCTTCTTAGGTCACAACCATTTCGAAACGGATTGATGTTGTTCGGTCTTGACAGGAGGGATCAAGGCACTTTTGCTTTGAGAATCACCGAACTTCTGAGTTGAATGATGGGGCAAAGTGATAATTTGAAGCTGAAACCTCAACGAGCTTCGGAACGCAAGCTGAGGAAGCTTGTCGAAGCCTGAGCGAAACGGGAATGCTTAGTGGTTGCCCGTTCAGCAAGCCGAGCAACCTGGATCTGGGTAAGTAGTATTAGAGATGCGAACTTCATTCGTATGTGTAACAGAGTGGAGTCGCCAGCACTACGTTTCGCCAGACTCTTCGGAGGATCAGGGTCTGCCAAACGAGTCTGCCGATGTGGAGGTAGAGTGCTCGTTGATGGTCATCGACCACAGGCTTATGCCTTGTAGTCGGGCAAAGTGATTACCAACGATATCTCCAAGATGTCGAGCTTGGGAAGATATTGAGCTTGGGAAGAGTTGAGTCTCTGGTCCCAATCATGGAGCAAAAGGGTGCGAACTCTTGCATGTCAGACTTGAGGTTGAGACACTGGTAACTGAAGGTCAGCACGTTCCAACGAAAAATGGGATAATGCTCTGTAGAAACAAAGTACTCCACATCCACAATTCCGTAATTCCGAGATGCTCGCTTCTCTTGAAATATCTAGGATAGAAAGGAGTGCGGTGCCACTCACCGACCAGCGTGACTGTCCCCACGACCCCGAGGGCCATACCGAACACGTGCGCCAGGAACGATTGCCGCTCGACCAGCTTGTAGCGGCGGCCGAGGATGTTGAGCAGGCGGCAGCAGAAGCCGTACGCAGCGCCCATGGCGATGCCCAGAAACATCTGCGAATCGTTTGCAAAGACCTATCAAGCACAGAACACCGTAAGCAATCTGCACCCGTCACAGAGACTTCCGACTTGGGAAGATAGTCCAGCAGCTTTCATCTCGTTTGTCAGCTGCCCGCACTGGAAAGAGTCGTCAAGGAACGGGTCGAGTTGCTTCGAGGCTCAGAGTGGGTGCAGAGTTGGAGGATGCAACCGCACGTGAAGTATTTTTGTTGGTGTTGAGAATTCTTCGACTGTCAGTTTTCTACTTTTCGCACTTCCAGAGATGCAATGACTGTTCCACAATCAAGGCCTTCCGACTAGTCTTGCTTACGTCATAAGCCCACCCCTTGTAGAACCAGCGTGCGATCGCCTCCCCCTTTGAAAAGTCAGGATCGAGAAGAAGCACGGCGAGGGCAACATGTGGATATGCGGCCCCATCGTTGAGCGCGCTCTCCGCCTGCAGAATGTTGCGCAGCTCCTCTGGGATGTATCTGCAAGGGAGTTTGACTATCAAACTTTTAGTAACTCAGTCTGACAAATCTGCACATATAGGAGCCGTGAATGCATGCGTAGTTTTGTTTGAGGTGAAAGCCGGAATTTCAATACCGATGTTTAGGGACGAGTGGCACGCTCGCACAAATCAGAAGATGGGGCCGGCAGCACTGGTGAATGGTCAGACCAACCTAGTTACATGGAAGGGCACTGATTACGGCTTAGGAAAAATGGAAGGTGGGGGCAGTGGGGTGGCTCAGACGAAAACTAGTTGGAAAGGAGTACAGGGTTACCTATACTTTCAAATGATCAAATACTTGGCCGAGGCAAACCAGGTTTGTAAGTCGACTTGGCCAAAGGCAGATTACAAAGTGAGCGGACTGCGCAGATCGTCGCATTTTTTGCAGGGGCAAATGAAATGGAGACAGTCGAGGCACTGAACATTGATGCCTCAGGAATTGAGGCAATGTTCAATTCCAAAGGCAGACAAGCAACGTGCCGCAACGGGTTCAAAGATGATGAGAGACCCTGTTTTTCGAATCTGTTGACTGGGTGTCCAAAGCTAAATATGGAGCATTCTGGGACGAGATTGTGCTTGCAATCCTGCTTGCCGACAGACTGGACATTGGCAGTCTTTTTTGTATGTCAAGGCAGACTGACCGTCTTCTGCCAAACGGTCCCTGCACCACCCAGGGAAGTAAGTTGGTCTCTATGATTGTAAGGTTGCGCGTCGACCGAAGATCTACTTGGCCTCCAGTGTTGCCTTTGTAGTACCGTTAGGTAGGAGGTACGGTACTTTTAGGGCCATATCACCCATCTGGTATGTACCGTGATATACCACGTGGATCTGAAAGGCCATCCAATTGACTAAGAAATCTGAATAGCTTTCTGCAGCTTTTCGGTCGACGCGCACCCTAAGCTGTCTTGTAAGAGCAAACCGAGGACGCGCAACTCTGAATGAAACCATCTAATTGTGTAAGACGCATTTCCGGTCCTTACGTCTCAGCGGATCGGCCCTCCACGATCGTGCTGGCCAGGATTGGATCAGTCGGCGTCAAAGTGGCCCCAATGAGTAGACAATTCAGGACACCTAATCGCCCCACAAACAGCGCCACGGCCAATCCAAATGAGATGGCCCAGGTAACTAGCATGAGGGGCCCCACTAAGATGAGCACTGAGCGCCAGTTGCGCTCGTAGTAACACTGGGGCAGAGAGAGGGCGATGGAGACTGACTGGACAGCCAGAACGGAGGCTGAGAACTGCATGCAAAAGGGAAAGGGCCTGGTCAGAGTGCAGGAATTGCCAGTTTGCACATGGGAATTTGCAGATGACGCTGCATTACCACAAAATACAAGGGGCTGCAAATTGAAAATAAATGCGGTCTTGAAGTCAGATAACGCTTTGGTGCACAAGAGTGCGCCCTTTCTGACTTTTGACTTGGGAAAATCAACAACGATCTGTTGGATTGAATGAGTAGCTGACAATCTCCAATGTCCTTGGTGGACATCCTTGCTATGAGAATCCTGGCACTGCATTTGCCATTCTCCTGCAACCAAAGGGAGGCCTCACCGCCTCAACGATCCCATACAATGTATGTCTGGAAAGCTGCGTTTGAGGATCTATGATCCTGGCAGCGGCAGGACCGATGATGACTCCAACCGCTGTCGCAGCCATCACCTCCGAGGTAAGAAATGTGCCCTTCCAAAGCCTGCCTAGGAAAGAGTAGAGGCACACGAGGGTGCCAATGATGGCCACGACTGCATGAACCCATGGGTGAGGAGGGATCAGCGCCATCAAGCAAAGCCAGTGGCAGAAAAGAAAGGAAGAGACCTCGCGACTCGCGAGTACCTGAATCCTAATTTGTAAAGCAGCGAAGAGTCAAAGTATGCAGCCTGGAGTTTGGACAATTTTGAAATTCGGAAACCTCAGGCCGTCGATGAGCTGATTTGAATCACATCGGACGGGTTGCGTAGGTCGGCGCAGAGGAGGAATCACGAGGGACGTCCCAGTCACGTCCGAACTTCTGAGATCCCAGAATCTGGGGATCATCTTCGCCTCCCAAGTTTCAAAAGCCTAGGATACACCGAGTCGGAAGTCTGAAGATTGAACAGGATCCTGCGCTTTGAAACCCCATTGAAATCCAGCTTCAAAGAGGCTTCAAAGCCCATAGGTAGGTAGCACGTCTGGCGCACAGCTAGAATCTGCTGTTGCCTATAAGACGACCTACCTACTTTGTCATTGAAGCCTTAGGTTAAACCTCGCATCCCTCCGGTTTGCCTTGCGAAGGACAAGGAAACGCTGAACAGAAGCATTCTCTTTCTTTCAGCACTAGACAGCAGTTTCAAAGGAAGCAGAGCTTGCTGCGCACCCTCAGCTGATCACCGGTCTCCCTTTTGTCAACGCGTTGCCAGCAGCTGTTCTTGACTAGCGCTCCAGAGTAAAGACAGAGCTCAGGCCAGCCTGCTGTGAGGACTCACGCAGTGATGAGCAGCAATGCTGGCAAGCAGAAGGGGCAGTCGAAGCCCAGGCCCATAGGTAGGGCACCAGCGACTTGAGGATACTTCTAGGGTTCTGGTTGCTTTGTGAATTTGGCCTTCTTGTTGACTAGACTGCTTTTGCATGCGAGGGCATTTCTGGTATGAAAAAGGAGACCACCGGAAGTTGTAAGGAAGTTTGTACTGGCCAATCAGAACTTTTCCCGATTGTCCTTGCTAAGGTCGGTGTATAGATCGAAGAACTGACACAATGCTGGTGGAAGTATGTGCCTGAGGCAGTTGGAAACGTGACAAGCTTGTCCGTGAACTCGTTTGCCAGCTCCATTGTTGCCCTTTGCCAACAGTTCCTCTGCCCCGTATAATCTGAATCCGTCACCACGCTCTTTGTTTTGAAGTAGCCCAGTCTTGCAGGTCTCATACGTACTGGTGATAGCCTCACGTAACTCCTTTAACGAGGTTTGTCGGATTTTGCAGAAGGCCAGCGAGGGCAGACAGACAGGGACAGCGTCGAAAGATGCTCGGGAAAAGGTAAACACCTGGTACTTTGCCGCTTTCCACACTCGTGGCTTCGTTACTCTCACCACGAATGTCTTCCAGAGATGCAAATGAATGCTGCGGTATCAGAAATACCAAAGGCACACCGGTGAGAGATGCCGTTCCATCAACCTTGTACTGGAGATGTTGCAAACTCCTAGCGATGTAGCCCCAGGACAATCCCTGTCTTGGACATACTTCCCTTGGCACCTTACCTCCCAGTCTGCTGATGATGGTTCAGCATACTTCTTGTCCAGGTCACGACAGCTCGCGGCGCAAGTCTTCAAACAACCAGCGCGCCCCTGAGAACAGCCCCAGGACGAGGGGCTCCCCCCACTCTGCGCCCAACCAGAACAAGACCCCCCCGGAAAGAGGCCGCTCCAAAGGCTCCAGCAGTGCGGGCCCTAGTTCTCGGTCAGGTAGCCTGGGGCGGTCTCCACAGGATGGGGGGGGTGTCGGCCCAGGGCCAGCCGCCCTCGGAAAGTCTCCCCCTACACGAGGAACGCCGGGGCGGCGGCGGGGCGCACCAAAGGGGCACCGGCTGACGGCTGATGATTGGGAGGATGCTGATGAAGAGATTAGGGACTACTTTGCAGGGGTGAGCCCGGAAAATTTTGGCTGGCTTTGAATTATGCTGCCCAAAGGGCCTGTCCATTCTTTATATCATAGTCTTGACTGGCCTCGAAAGTTAGGTAGAAGAAATTGTCAAGGTTCCCAGACGATTTGTGTTCAACCCCGTCTGTCCCCACTTGAGGGCCTTCGTAGTTCATTTTATTCGAAGGCATAGCACTTCTAGACAAACGGAACATCAGGCAAGAATCCCCATCGTATCAATTGACAATTCCCACATCTAGACTCATACTTTGGTAACAAAACGGGGGTAAGCGCGTTGAGGACACGTGAAGACTTTGGTGCCTGGCATCGGAGCACTTTCTGCCTTGCTCAATGCACAGAGCCCAAATCTCCACGCTTCTGACCCGACTTCGATCATGCATCGCAGCACGGGCACCAGTCTCGCGGCTCCTCTCGGCGCGGCCGCTGGGAACAACGCCAAGAGGAGCTGGAGCTCGAAATGGCGCTCGCGCTCTCCCTATCCGTCAACCACGCCCCTGAGGGGGGAGAGCCGCGGGCGCCTGGAACAGCCCGGACTCATGAGCTCACTTACGAGGTGGGAGTTCGAGCGTCCGACATGACATCTGCCGGTTGGATGCTGCTTGGAGTCTATGGGGTATCTGTGTGTCCCTCTGTATTACATGATAAAGTTCTTTACATGGTCCACAATGTTGATTTGGGACTGGATGCCAAAGGGCGCCTGCAGCTCACGAGAGGGTGTCTTTGAATGGTTTTGAAGACCGGCATGTTCTGTGGTTTATGAGGGGGGGTCAAGGATGGATATAGAGAAGAATGCATCACGTTCTAAACTTCTAGTGGGGTCTGAAGGTTCTTCCTTCTTCCTTTTCCCCTTATTCAAGATAAAGTTTTGCTTGGTGCCAACATCGTCTTTGGATTTGAAGCGCTCTGGCTCAACATTGGCCACGCAGGCTCGTAGTCTTCGACCAAACGCATGTCTCTGTCGCACGGGATGTATCAAATCGTCAATGCTTCTTTGCTAAGGCACATCAGATGGAGCTTCGAAAAATCGACCGTGCAATCCTCTGGGTTCTGCTGTTCACCGACATCCAATTCGAGGACACGCTGTGTCCTTCTACAGCTGTTGTTTCCGCATCTGCAGTTTCGAAGAATTCATTGTGTTCAAACGGTTTTGCAGCGCCTGACAACCCTGGAGGACGTCAAGGTGACGGCGACCGCGGGCGCTGTGGCGGCACTCCCCTCCACTGTATTCGGCGGCTCTGCACATTCGTCCCCAATGAAGGCAACCACGACGAGCGCTGGCCACGAGTGAGCCTCATTGTTTCAAATTCATCTTCGAGTCACTAGGCATTCCAGGAAATCAAAGGAGAGGGTTATTTATTGGGCATGTTGTCAGACCCGGTGAATGGGAATGTCTGCTGTTCTCGACGCCTTTCCATTCACTACCCGGCCAATCAACGGCTTTTGGCATTCCCAAGCCGGTCTGGATCCAGGCATATCCCAGCCAGCGCCCTGAAGTCTGCCTCCTAACCATTGCTTCACCTTTCCTGGTCGCTCGTCCACCCATTTCGAAGCTGACTCTCAAATGTCTATTTGCGCAAACCGCCTCCAGTTGCTGTGACCGGTCCGCCTACAAACTCAAGGTCTTGACGTTTCTAGACGTTAGGTTGGTGTCCGTGACACATGGAAACTGCACGTCTCCGCTTCACAATGTCCTTTCCAGGCCTTGCGCAAAACGTCCACACTGGCTTCTTAGCTCGCTGGAGACTTCCTGTAAGTTTTGCGTTGTCTACCTCCGCGAATCGTTGATAATCTCGACATTTTGACTCTGTGCTCCCCTATAGTTCTTCGAAACCGTCTTCTCTTCTCCATCTTTGCTCTTCTGGATCCAACACGACAAGGCACTTTCTTTCTTTTGAAGAAGATTCCCCTTCACTTGTTTGATCAGGATGTGTACCATTTGCCAACATGAGTACGGGGTTGGCGACGACCTAGTCGTGCTTCCGTGCGGGCACCGTTTCCATCCGCAGTGCGGATCAGAGTGGCTGCTCAACTACTCGCGGCGGTGTCCCGTCTGCAAAACTGACATATCCGACGAGTTTGCTTAAGCATATACGGGTCTAATGTACATAGGTTGGCTGATGTTTCAAGTCAAGTCAAACAAACAGGTAGCGATCTGCAGGTCGATTCTTTTTGACGAGGTAATGTTCTCATGTATTGTTTCCATAACGCGATTCAAGTGCTTCATAGTATTCGGAACGGCTGAAAATTGGGAGCTGCTTCTGCTTTTGTGTTGTGCTTCCTGAGAGCTGGTGATATCGTCAACTCTGCTTCTAGTCAAACCAGTGCTGCTTTGGGAGACTTTGCGTCATGGCCGTTGAAAGTGTCGAAACGAGAATGAAAGGCGACTGCTCCCGGAGTCATTAACACGACCTTACTCGAATTCACCAGTCTGCCGTTTGGCACACAAGCAATCATCTCGTCTTATATATGCGTTAGCTGTCCCTCTGCCCGTCTCAAGTATAGTGCGAGTTGCATTGTTCCTCTGGGAAGCATTCCTACAGTGTGCATCAAGAATGCATGACATATATCGCATAAGTTGGGCTTTACATGCAACCGCCATGCTTGCAGTGCGGACTCGATCATATGCGCGTTACGTTTACACAAGAATGCTTAGAGTTAGCATGTATGCTGCAGCGTGCCGCCACCGCTGGGCCACTGCGTGCCTGGCATGGCCGGCGGCGGTCATATGCTCCGCTGCGTGCAATGAGCCTGAGGTTTCCATATGAGCAGCTGTATGTTCCGCGCACTGCAGTCGCCATGGCCCGGGTGTCCATACATAGCCGTGTGAGCGCAAGCGTTGAGCATACGAGCATGCATCTGCAATGATATGTGTTAGCACATATGAATTCCATGCAGCATCGACTTGACGAACTCACTTCGCGATCTTGCATGATTCAAATGAACCGCAAAGGGTGTACCAGTGAAGCTAGTGCAAACGCTCATGACGGTCTGCCCCATGTGACTAGACAATCTACGTGTTGCAAGCTAGGTACGGTTGCTGTTACTTCTTCCAAAATATATTGCAATGCATGCACTGAGACTGTTAGCTGCCTGCCAGTGGCATGCCGCATGCTTCAATCGCTGAACACGAGCTAGCGCCAGGTATCCGTTTCCGGGAAACTGCAGGATTCGACACCAGATTGTTAAATCAGTATCAGCACTGGCCATGGCCCGGGATCGCGTCGCTATCTCTTGTCTCAATGCAATCGGAAGCACATTCAGCTCCTGACAAAGTGCATCCGAATGGTGCGCTGATATGCAAAGTGCAGGGCCCGCGACAAATCTGCTGCTAGAGTGGCCCCCGCGGAGGAAGTCTTTCAAACCGTCAAACTGATCAGACTATAGCTAGCAAATGGGAGGTACACGGAAGGTCGTCCAAAAAATGGCTATAGCGAAAACTTAGTGGTTTTTTGATCACATGTTGGCGGTGATAGTGCGCCCTTCTCTTGCGGGACCACCTGGACAGAGGGCTTCGATGTCATGTGGTGACAGTAGGCGAGATCAAAACTGCATCAACTCAGAGCACTTGTCCGAAATCCTCATTTGACGTTATAAGTTGCCATGATGCATCGTCAGAACAGTCCTTTGAAAGGGTTGAACGCCTTGGCAATACGACGGCCTTAACAAGCGCTTGAAAGCTCGACGCTCAATTAAGGATCCAACTGAATATTACCTCACTTGTGGAGCACGTAGATCAACTCGGAAAGCTTGGCAAACGTACAGCTAGCGACTGACCGTCTGTGACTGTACTTTCATAACCCCTGAGCAAGCCTACTATATGTCTTCATGTATGTCCCTTCAAGAGCTACATATCTATGTCATTTAACGATTGCAGAAGCTATTTCAAACCTATGCAGGATCTGCGCTACTGACGTCGGACACTCGCTACCTACGCTTTAACGGCCTCGATGACGGACGGGCTTCCAGGACCCAGCGGAACGATGCGGCTGATCTCGAAACCTTCGGACTCTAGCAGAGTCTTCCACTCCTGCTCCGAGCGTTCCCGACCACCCAGGCACATCATCATCATCTGGATGTCGAGGAGAGTCGGGAAATGGCGGGCCTCGGGGGGTGCAGTGCCAGGGTTAGGGATGACGAAGTCCATAATCAGCAGCTTCCCTTCGGCGGGCAGGGCGCCGCGGCAGCTGGCCAAGATTGTCTTGCACGCCGCATCGCCCCAGTCGTGCAGAATGAACTGGAGGTAACGAAACCAGAGCGTGTTCTACTTAGAGCCACCTTACATTCAAGACAAAAAGTGACGAAAAATTAAAAGCGACGCCTGGCAATATTGGAGAATGACGTCTCCCAAGTGCTGACGTCAACGAATGTTTCTCAAGCGAACCTTCTTTGCAGAACTCTGAAACTAGCCTTACTTCAAACCTGCGTATCTCACTGACCGAACGCCTCAGAATCCCAATTTTTCGGTGATCGCACCCGCTTCCAGTTACGATCTTGCACTGCTATTCCTGAAAGCTACAGGTAGAAACACGAGAGAAGGAAGAAAAGAAATGAGACGAACCTTCATGATGATATTAGGAACTTTGGGCAGAGTCTCGGCCTTGAACATGTCTCCAGACACAAGCTCCACCCCTGGGATTGAACGGGCAGTCTGGATGACATGCGGCTGGTCAAAGTTGATGCCCTTGATGTTGGGGTACTTTGCGGTGATTGCCGCCAAAAGAGCACCGTGTCCTCCGCCAACGTCCATCAACACGTCCAAGTCCTTGAACCCGTCGTAAGCCTGCCACGAGCAGAATTTTCGCTTTCCGTTTTTGAGATTTCTCTCGTAGTCAACGCAAACCGGAAGCTGGAAAGTTATGAAAGAAGGAACGCACCAGCACGACCCGCTTTCATGAATCATCCTAGAAAAATTGCAAAGATTCTGGCTCGTCTGCAAATCAGAGTATCGTACACGATTGGGGCAAACGACAGGAGGAGGATGGCATAGAGACGAGCAGAGACCAGCGTTTGTGACGAACCCCTGACCTGCAAGAGCTGAGGAACTTGAGTCGACGACACACCGCGCATTGCAGCGTCAAAAGCCTTTCCAGACGTGTCCGCGTGTGCCTGCGCAGTCAGAAGAGCGACTTTCGATTGACTCGCGAGTCACCGAAAATTTGGTCGTGGAGTCGGGATAACTGGGACCGATGGTCACATGAGCTCAAAGCTAAGCCGTCAGACGCGAGATGTGTTATTTATGCAACCGTTCGGTTGACAGTGCCTCTTGCTCGTGTATGTATACGGGAGGGGAGCAGACGTTCAGGGGTTTCAAGTTGCAAAGGCCTTTTGGACGTTGAAGATATATGCGCACCCTCAGCCGCAGGTGTGATTGCGTACCTGATAGTAGTCCCAGACGCTTTTATGCGTCTTGCTCATCGTAGTCTTCTTCCAACCAGTGCCGCCCTCCTTAATGGTGCGCGACAGCTCATTCCAGGTGTTCGATGTGTTAGGCTCATTCCAGTGGGTTATTACACCGGCCAAGGGGCTCAAATCGCCTGTCTCCTGCAAGGCAATCCGCTTTTTGAAGTGATAAAACTGGTTTCTAGAAACACATTGCAAGGTACAAGCCGGATGACCTCTGTCAATGTCCAGGAAGCCAACTAATTTGGATGACAAAGAAGACTTGCTCTAGTAAAGTAGGAAGTTCATAGCTTCTCTTAAAATTCCAAATCAACTCTAGCACGACTTTGAGCTGGAATGCGCTCAAAGTAAGTACTCTTGCATGTGCCTAAATCTTCTCACACAACAACAATGGTAAGGTGAATCCATGCAAGAAACACTAGAAGCTCGAAAGCACTGTAAATCAATGAGTACACCTACCTTGTCTGACACCAGAAGCTGACCAACCGATGACAAGCTGTAAGTTCCTTCTGCAGTCTCGTCAAGCACGCCGAGTCCAGACAGTGCTCGAATGAGGCGTGCAGTTGCGTCAGGGTCTGTTCCCGCGAGCTGAGCAACTTCATCCGGACGCATCGGTTCACCTGGAGATAGAGTCACACTGTTTTTGCCCTTTGCGTGGCAAAGAGCCATCCCTGTACAAAATTATCTTCAACGCTTCTAGGGTAAACTGCTTGCACAAAAAGAAATGAACAACGGAATGCTGGCGCAAGCACAAGGGAAACAAGCTTTTTTCGAAATGGTTGACCTCGGAGTTGACAAGCTTAGAGGAAAGTTGCACAAGATTCCAATGATATCATTGCGTGAATTTTATCTTGAGTGCGTAAAACGAGCATCACGAGGTTGGAAGCATATATTCTCACCAGGTTCAAGAATTGGACTTCAGCAGGCTGGCTTGCTGGTACTTAGCAGAGCTGCCAATCGTTGCTCACAAGAATACTAATCTCCTATCATTGTTTGCAAGAGGAGGTATGAAATTTGACCAGAAAGCCTACAAATAGGTCCATCGAGCAAACCTACTCAATTTCCAAAAACAGATTCGCAGAAATGACAAAGGAGCGCAAGAGCATCTGGAAATTGTAAGTTCTGTACCTTGTTTGGCAAAGATGTCTGGCAAGTGATTGTCCACAGCGGCGTATAGCACTTTCCCTTTTGAGAAACTGAATGCGTAATCTGCCAAGAGAGCTGCTGGGGGCAGAGGTGGCGCCATTCCACATGCTGAGCAGCCAGGAAAAGCACACCACATCATCAGACTGTTCTCTGCCATCATTATGGTGATTCAAGACACGTGTTGCTTCCACATCTTTTTGAGCTAGCTGCTTCTTGTGACCTATGCAGCTTCCAAACGTATATTGGCATCACAGATACGGAAGTCTGGAAAGTTTGTCCTTGAGTAGGAGGCTTCCAATTTCACCCTGTCGATGTGAGGACTTCCTTCAATCGCTTGATGAGGCAGTCGCCTCGTGCATTGCACAATGAGCTTGTTGCAAAATGAGATGTAGAAGTGTACAGTGCACCATAATGGACAGCTCAGGTTGAGCAAACTCGCAATTTTCACCAGCTCACCAGCTTCTTGTGTCTTCTTTCGAGCTGGCCTTAAAAGATAAAAGTGCAGAGCCGTCTGTATACTGCCGCTTCAGACAATGAAGACTTGTTGATTCCAGGAACAGATCAAGCACGCAAGCTGAAAAAGCTAACTGCGAAGGTCTATGCTTATGAATCTGCAACAGACATGTCGGAAGGATGATACCGCTGTTCCCTCGCGAATGATGGAGACTTGCTGGCCAATTGTACGACCCCTGACTTTTCTGCCACGAAAGCTCGTCAATCCCTGGCTTCACTGTCACTCAATGGCACGCCTGTCATACAGCCTCGGACATTGCAGGCAGCTGACTCCGGATTGCAATTATTGTTGGGGAGTTCTTTGCATCCCGCATCAGTGTAAAGCAGTGAACTGTGAAGCTGCATGCATCTCCAAAGTACCCAGCTCTACTCCCGAGCAAACCGCTAGTTGTTCTAGCTGCCTGGTGGGAACCAGGACACTGTACATAGAATCGGACCTGCCAGTCCACGGGCAGTCCGGGGCCTGCCTCCTGCATAAAATGGTCAATGCGGACTCATCATGCAGCAAATCGTCTAGCGGGTTGCTCTGCCACTGCCAGTGTCACATCTTGCGAGACGTACCCTTCAACTGCATGACTCCAGCGGCGTCCAGCCGTATGGAGTGGAACTCAGGCTTCAACCCGGGTCAACCCCCAAGGATGAATTCCCTCCGAGTTTTCCGGCTAGGAAGCGTATAGGAGGATATTGGAGGCTTGCTTTGACAGCCACTCAAGAGGCTGGGTTTGCAACTTGCTCCGCTATAAGCGAACACCGAAGCGGTTCTTGCGGTCTCGACTCTCGACGTGACGTTGTTGCACGAGGAGTCCACGACTCGTTCCATGACTCCTGATTGAGTGCTGAGTCCTGACTCACATGGGCACTCATCTGAGTCATCTCGCGGTTCTTCCGGCTACGGTATGCAAGTTGTCCAATCATTGTTTTCGTCCAACAATCCTGCATTTAATGCAAGTAGGAAATTGCATATGATGGAAATATTGTACAGTACATATTGTATATTGAGAGTGCAACTCGACCACCATCTGTTGCCGGGGTAGCTCAGTTGGTAGAGCGCAAGGCTCTTAGCGACGTTTCGCTCATACGAGGGTCCGTAGCACACCTTGTGGTCGAGGGTTCGAGCCCCTCCTCCGGCGCGATTTTTGCCCCTTGTTGTTTGCCGGCGATTTCTGGTCCGTTTTTTGCTCGAGGGCCGAGGTAAAATTTTGGGGGTTCACAAGTCACGTTCGTGGCCCGTGGGAACGTTTCTCCTTAATTTGATTCGGATGGGCTTTTTGATAATGCAATTTTTGATAATACAAGCTCAAAGCATCAAAGCAACCAATGGTGTGTTGCTTGTGTAAGTCCGAACAGCCCGGGCTTCAAGACTTCCATGCCCCCAAATCCTCCCGCATTAACCGTCTTTGTTGAGTCCATAAGTCTAGAAATTTAGACTCCCATACTGTAACTTCCCTCTAGGTTGGTTGCTTCATCGTGCCATGATGCTTGATAGAAAAACACGTGGGCGTCGTCACCTAGGCTACTCTTGAGGTACACGGATCATGTCCGTGTCATGAGAGCCCAGACTCCTGATTGGATGATCAACTGCTTCGGGCTCATCGTGCACCCCGCATTTCGTTAGCGAGGCTATTGTCTTTCGCTCGCCTGAAAGCTGAAGACCTCTGAAATATTTTTTGAATGAGCGAAGAGCCTGTCCCAATCTCGATCTTGTTCATTCGCGTTGGGCATCATTTGCAAGCAATTGTTTTTGGATGCGATCATACCTTTGTAAATCCAACAAGTCACGTACTTAGGGCACCGTCCACTGTCGTATGCATACAAATTGCATGTGTAAATCTGATGGGTACGGCCACAAGCACTGGCACAAGCCAAATACACGTCCACCAATGATTTGACAAACGAGGTGGAACCAGCTTCGTAATTCCTTGTAGGAAAGGATGAGGAGAGCTTGTACCCATGTGACACCAAGAAGCTAAGTAAGCAAGGGGCGATCGCTCAACCCAAGGTGCCTGCTGAACGGTGCATCAACGTCTTTGCAAGTCCTTGAGTTGTGCAAGCTGCCCCTTCCACCCGGACAGCCCCTTTTCTTTTCTAGCAGTCGCCTTGCTGCTTTCCTTGGGCGCAGGTGCAGGCTGGCGCTCCTCAACAAACCCATTTGTGCTGTTGCCATTTGCTCCCGACGTTTTCGACTTCTCTTCCATCCCGGACTCAACACCGACACTGTCGGTTGCCGGAGGAGCACCTTTCTCCTCTATCGAGGGGGTCTCCGGCTGCCGCTTTAAACTTGCCGCGGGCGGAACCACAACCTCATTGGGCCGCTTCTTCATCCGAGCGCCCAATCTTTTCACCCCGCGCCCCGTCCTGATCACCTGAGCAGTAGCAAGACTTGCAGGCTGCCCCGCCGAATTTCCTCCCAACCCCAACCCAAAGGGGCGGCCCTCTCCCCCGGTAACGTCGCCGTCGTCCTTGTAAGCACTCACCAGCTCCTCCACATACCGGTCCAACTCCTCGTCGTCGGAGCTCTCAGCTTCCCCGTACTTTCTGGCCTCCAGACCCTCAAGTTCACTTCCCGGCTTCGCTTGCCCCATCCCCTCCCTCGATTTCTTCTCCTCCAGCTTATCTCTCAACGCGCCGAACGGATTCCCGCTCGGCCCCGCCTTAGCTCCGCTTGTCGCACGCCCCTCTTCCGCGCTCGCTCCCACCCCTTTCCGTTCCTTCTTCTCCTCCCGTTCCGCTCGTCCGTTTTCCGCCCTCCCACCTTCGTCTCTCCGCCTCACCCCCCCGTCTTCCGTCCCCACTTTCAATCCCGCCAGAGCACCAAACACGTTTCCGCTCATCGCCGCTTCTCGCATCCTCTCCTCTCTCATCCGTTCCTCCTCCAACCGCATCGCCTCGTCCAGCGCGCGCCGCTCGCGCTCCTCCCTACGCCGCCGCTCACGGGCCGCCACGTGTCCCCTCAGCACGTTCTGCAGGTGCGTCACCTGCTCGCGCGCCTGCTGCGCCGCGGCCTCCACCTCGGTCGCCTGCTTCAGGAGCAGCGGACCCTGCGGAAACCGGAACATTGGGGGTTCAGAAAGGCTCAATCATACTCGAACTCAGAAGGCTCATTCAGGTGTTAAACAAAGAAAGGTCACACAGGCTCTCAAGTAGAAAGCTCCCTTAGAGTCAAGATGAGAAGGCTCAAATTATGACAAGGCTCGGAAGCAAGAAATGCTCGCTGTCAAAGGAACCGACGGCGTTGCAAGAGCGGGGTTGAGCACAAACTTTCTTGACTATCAGGGTACTGCACGCAGACTGGAGGATAACAAGTCGACTCCCTAAGCTCGCAAGGAGCACCAGTCTAAGCATGAGTGGACATTGCCCAAAACTAGAATAAACTACGTCTCATGGGAAGCGGCTGAGAAGTCGAAAGCAACTCAGATGCAAAACGGGGAACGTTGGATCCTCGGAAAGAGAGCGACAGGTGCGATGCCTCTTGCAGCACACACATCAGCAAAGTTGTCCAGCTACCAGCGCTCCATCCTGTTGACTCTGCTGACGTCCAGGACATGGCTGTTGGTTCTCTTGATAATTAGCAGGCGTAGAAGCGATTTATCACAGTCAGCACAAGGGGGAATGCCCCCTTCTCTGGCGGAACGTTGCACCTTTGCTCAACTGCTTGGAGGGGTGAACTTCGAGAAGGCCTGAAAAGCATTGATTGGAAGCAAAATTTCAACCGTGGATGCCGGTCTCAGCGTAATCATGGACCACAAAAGCGCGGTTACCTGATGCTGTTTGAGCCTCCTGTCGACCGCCAGGAGCTGCCGCTGCATGCGGCGCGCCTCCTTGAGGAGCCGCTCCGACTCGTCAACGGCCTCAGCGTACGCTTTGCGCTGCCGCTCCAGGTCCAAGATCGCCTGCACGGGATGAACTTTAGTCATGACTAGTGCTGGACGACAGTAACATCGAAAAATATCATATGGCACAGACTCTCAGATACATCAATATCGACCAATGGCAAAGTTTCGGAACTCTCTTTGCCCCCCTCTGCGTATCTGCTTCTGGAGACTCGTAAAGGCCAACAGCGTCACAAGTGCCCAGGTTCTTGAAGGCACAGTAGGGCTCCTGGAGCTTAGGGGAATCAAAACAAACATTGACAAGGCCTTCGTGTTCGCCCTCCCACCGCTCATTGACAGATTCCACCGCTCATTGACAAATATCACACCGACGGGATGACCTGACGCCACTAGCTCCTTTAGGTGGTTGCATTGGCGCTTTGGCGCTGAATATCAACTCGTATGCTGAAAGCTGACTTGTTGCAACTACGCATCACGCTTGCAGGGTGAAATCGAAGTCGGCGTTGAACATCGAGAGCACCGCAGTAGCCGACGCTGGTCTTCAACAGCCACTCGGGCCCTTCAACGCAGGGACAACATGTGTTTTCGACAGAATGTTCGATACGTTCTGAACAGGCACGGATACCAGTGTATCGTCGAAATGCGCAAAGTTCGCACCTGATGCATCGCAGACTGGCGCTGCAACATATTGACCCTGTATTAAATAGGCTCGAGACAAACGCCCTCATAACCCCTTCCGACCCGAAAGTGAAGTACTAAACCAATGGAAGGAAAGGAAAAGAGCCGCCAGCTCACTTCGCTGGCCTCCAGATTCGCCTCCCCATGCAGGTTCCGCGCCTCGCTAATGATGCGCCCGTCCAAACCCAACCGCTCCGCGATGTTCAGCGCGTTCGATCGGCCTGTTGGATACGATGTCAGCAGAGTGAGAAGCTGACGAGAAGCAAGTGAGGAGCTGATGGTTAGACGGAGCAGTTCAGACGAGAAGCGCGCAACCAATCGGCCTGAACGGGATGACGCCAGCCGACTTACAAAGGCCCCGCAACACGACCAAGGCACGATTGGGCAAAGCAGGCGGTCAATCTGCACGAACGCAGATTGCAGAAGAGCGTGACGGATGCATATCACGGGGGCCGGCACACGCATCGGATGCAGATGCCAAGCAGCCCTTTCAAGTGAGCATTGCGGTACGTTCAGTCGAATGTAGCCACCTGACTGAAGCCGACCGCACGACTGGACCATACAGATGAACAAACGGAGCCTCCGGACGGTCCGAATGTGCACTTTGGCAATGTCTCATCCGCACCAGACGCTTCGAGCCATTCCGGAACTGTAGCAGCTTCACTCTCCCAGAACTCTGCCACAAGCCGTCCAATCAATCTACACAATTCACGATCGCCTCCCACCACTCACCGGGGATCCCCCAGAGCAGCCGGAACGTGGGCGCCAGCCGCGCCTCGTCGAACTCGACGCACGCGTTCTCGAAGCGCGGGTCCGAGTACTTGAGCGTCTTCAGCTCCCCGTGGTGGGTCGTAGCGAGAGTCAGGAGGGATCCCCCGGGGCGCTGCTCGGCGAAGGACTGCAAGGAATGACAGTGGAACTTAGCAACAAAGCATCTTCCGAGCAACTTGCCAGATTACATGTCAACTAATGTATGTTGATTCTACTCATCAGCAGGCTGACTAATGTACAATGAGTTTACCATGGAAGGTGGCACTTTGCTCGGAAGTACCTATGATAAGCTTCGAAACACATATGCTAAACTACGACGAAACGGTAACGCAAGACTTTACCTGCTCCGCACCCGTACCCACCCTGAACTACCAGATCAACCCCACCCTTCCCCTAAAGTGGTTAGCTTATCAACTCTGCCGCTTTACCTATTCTTAATTGTGAAACTTACCTGCAGGAGGGCCATGCCCAGGGCAGCGCCCTCTGTCGGGTCCGTCCCCCCGCCCACCTCGTCGAGGAGGACCAGAGAGCGCGCGGTAGATTCGGCCTTAATGCGCTGCAGGACGGAAACGCCAGTAAGTGAGTAATGAAAGTCGAGCACTTTGGAAATTCAAAGGAACCCCGAGGCTGCAGCGGAAAGGGCCGTACAGGGGCCGTCCAGATGGCGAATCTAGTCGAGGAAGACCAAGAAGCGCGCAGTGGACTCGGCCTTGATGCGCTGCAGCACGAAGATGCGACAGTGGATAAGAAAATGAAAGTGCTTTCTGTAGCCTGCAAGGAGACCTTGCGAGTACTGCGGAAGGGGCCGTGGAGGGCCGTTCGTTCGGCCTTCAGGAATAGGAAGGCGAACCTCAGGTTTGAACGTCGGTCCTCAGATCAATCTGGAAGAAGATGTTCCTCTGCCGTTTGTGAGCAGGACGCAGGTTCCTCATTTGGCCTAATATACCTACCTACTAAGGAGAGGCCCACTTGTCAAGGGGAGGCTCACTTGTCGACCGACATGAAATCCCCCTCAAAGTCCAAGATGAAGTCGAGTTCGTAAAGAGACTGACACAGCAAAGCAAGAAGACATACCTTGATCCTGCGAAGGTGCCCCGAGAACGTCGACAAGCTCTGCACCAGCGACTGGTCATCCCCAATGTCGCACAACACCGAGTCGAACCACGGCAGCAGAACCGGCTCGCTCGCCGGCACGAACAGCCCCGCTTTCGCCATAAGCGCCGCCAACCCGAGCGTTTTGATTGCCGCCGTTTTGCCGCCCGTGTTCGGCCCCGTAATTGCGACGACTCGCGTCTCGGACCGGATCAATACGTCGATCGGGATCGGGGGTGACGCCGCGAGTTCGCTTTCTTCTTGCTCGGCGGATCGGAGGGAGGCTTCGAGAGACTCGAGCGAGACGGCGCGGCCGACACCAAACATGCCCCGCTGCTTCGCGCGCTTCAGCGCCGCGGCGCGCGACTTGACTTTCTGCTTCGCCTTTTTGAGCGCGTCTTGGTGCTGCAGTACGAGCAGCGGGTGGCGCGCCTTCTCTAGCCGGACGAGAAATTCGGGACTCTCTGAGAAGATGCGCTTCTTAGGGGGATCCCCCTCGGGGCTCTCGTCTTCATCCGACGCGCTCTCGTCATCGCTGCTCCCGGTATCGCTCTCGGTGACGCCCCACCCCGCAGTACTTACTGCAGCCTCTTCATCCTCAGAAACGGTTTCTTCCTCAGGGGTCTTGTCAGCCAGACTAGCGTACTTGTTCTCTTCCGGCCGTTTCACCTTTTCCCTCACGACCTCCTTCTTCTCTTCGACAATCTTCACGAAAGTCGGTTTCGCTGCCTTCAGCCACCGAGCACACCTGGCCCTCGCCGCAATCACGTCCACCTTCACCAAAATCCCCATCGCCGCGGTTATGTCGTCTAACCACGGGGTCAACCGCTCGGTTATCGCCTTCCTGACCGCATCCTCAGCCGCGGTCGCCGCCCGCCTCGCCTCCGCGAGCTTATTGTTGAGCGCCACCGCGGCGGGGGGCTCCACGAACAGGCTCCCGTCACCCCCCGAACCAATCAACAGCCCGGGGACTGTCTCCCGGAACGCCGAGTTGATCGCCAGACACATCCGGTCGTTCTGGACCACGACCTTCCCCCCCCGATCCGAGAACCCCCCCAGAAGCTCTTTCAATCGCTCCTCCGCCGACTGAACCTGCTGGCGCGCTTTCCTCAATTCTGCGCTCGCAGAATCTTTGATTTCCCCCATCTCATCGACCACGTTGTCGATCGCTTTCACGATCTCTGGGTGCGGCATGATCGCTTGCACGAGGATCATAAGAGGTTGGAGGGAAGGGGCCGGGGGAGGGGGGGGCTCGGAGAAATCTCCCCATCCCGAGGGGGCCCGCCGAAGGGCTAAGTCGCGTTCTTCCAGGCGGATTGCGCTCGTGACCCCCCGGAGGAGGCGGTCAGAGGCGGAGAGGACTGCTGCAGTGAGGCGCAACTCCCGACCTGCAAGGAGTGCGCGGAGAAACATTTCCAGATTGCAGATACAGAAATAAGGAAGATGTTTGCATAGTATAGTGATGAGATGCCTCTTCTTATGTCTGGAGGTTCAACATTCTGGAAATGTTTGACAACCTGCTCCGAAAAGGAGGAGCATTTGATCTGGGGAGTGGTATGAGAGCGAAGATGAAAGAACAAACAAGATTTAGAAAGGACGGTCTAGGTTGCAGCAAGTGGTAGACCGCCTTTGAAAGATACCTTCCCTCTTCCGCCTAGTAACCAACTCCTTGCCAGAAAGGGAGTTGAGCAATGGGGGGTAGCAGGAAAAGTCTCTGATACTTTGAGAGCTTCCTGACCCCTTCTCATCTCAGTGGTCTATAAAGTAAGCGACAGCGACAAGCTCCAAGCTGTCAGGTTTCATTGAACTTAATGCATGCATGCTGAAAACCCGCCTTTCAATACCGAGATGTCCACACACAAGAACTTTTACCCACTCATCACCGGCACATTGTCTCATCAGCATCCTCCCCAATGTTCAGAGTCAAATAAAAGCAAACGTGCATCCAAAACTTCTGACCAGGTGCTAAGAACTAGGCACCTCACCTGGACTTTTTAAGCAAGACTTGTCCTTATCTAGTACCACCACTCCTGGCTTATCAAGCAGCCCCATGAAGGGCTTACGCTTGGTGGCCAAGAGTCCAATCCCCTCACCTGACATCGGCACGCCCTTTCGAGCCTTATAAAGGCCATAGTCAGCCGCCTTGGTGCCAATCCGTCCAAAGTCCAGACAGTCCCCACTCGCGCTCGCGTCCAAAGTCAGCGCCGCCGCCGTCTCTCCGAGTAGCGCCTCGCTGCCCTCCTGAGTGTCTGGGAGAAGCAACACTCCCGCCAGCTGCTGACCGGAAGAAGTTGACGCAAATGTCGCAACCGTGCTGCAGATCCTGTCCCACTCAAGCATCTCCAGCGCTTCTTCGGCTGCAGTCCGATTGTTAGGATCATTCTCCAATAAGGGAGAAGGCTTCAGAGTCTCAGGGTTTTCAGCGCTCTGGAGCTCGGAGCTTGATGATGGGATTACTGCTTCTCCAGAAGCTCGTGCGGAGGTTCTTCTGAAGCTCTCCCTGGCGCTGCTCAGAAAGGGGCGCTTGGTCCTGGTGGTACAAAGTGCATCCCTTACTTGCACTGAAGGATGTGTACACTGCGTGCTTGACTCCAGCCAGTGACCAGAATAGCAAGACTTCTGTGCGACTGAAACTCTTTGGAGCGCTCGTCTCCAGAGCTGCTTGTCACCTTCAAAGCAGTGATGCGAAAGTAAGCAATGGGCAGTGGATCGCTGCGTAAAACCAGCATTGCGAACATGCCAGGAACCAGGGAGCGAAGTCCGTGCAGTTGTCAGCTCCATGTTCTATGTTGGCCTGGTAGGAACGTGGCCCCCATAAAATCTTATGTACTCCACCCAAGCAAGCGAAGGCGTCTTGAAGTTGAAAGGCTGTACGCAACTCAAGCCTTGACAATGAACTTATGAAGGTGGTTCGCCTTCGAACTTATCAAGTGTGCGCCCACCTGGGCCAGCGTATCGATGTCACGAACCTCTGGAAGCAAAGCGGCTTTCTCAAGCGCTTATGACAAACTGACCCTAGGCCAATTTAACGATCATTGTGACTGGATCGACACTGGCTGTGTCTTCAAAAAGTATGTAACGATGAAGAAGCCACTCAAAATGCTGCCAATATCAAGCGAATATATTTAGAGACATTTTGCCAATTGCCTGACGTGCGGAATGAACAGGTCTGGCTGGTCTGCACTCCAGGAATTGCGTGGAATCTGGAAGGCAAATTGCAGTTGCAACGGCTCGTTGCGGGAGAGCGTCTTTCAGATTTCAGCCTTCAGCCTTCAGCCTCAGGCGCCCATTGCTGATCGAGCCGCCATTCGTCTGCTCTGATCTGTTCCACGGAGCTTTTTGCTGAAGATTTGGACGAGAAGTGATTCCAATCGAATTCGTTAGTCTGAGAGCAGGGCTCCGAGCAGGTTTGGGTTTAGACGGAGTGAACAAGCGCTGGCTGCCTGAAATAGGATATGTGAGTACAACTGCGAGCCATTTCACCTCCAAGCCACTTGGTTGAGGGTCTCAACTGAGCAGGACTGTTTGAGATTTTGCTTAGTGCTGGTGTTGCCAAGGCTAATCTGGCTTTTGCCCATAGATCTGAAGGTTTGCTCTATGGTTGACTAGGGGCAATCCGCAATTGACGATTGCGTCCGGTGTCCAAGGGCTGGTCTGGTTGGGCATCATGTTTGCGCGGCATGCTTGTGGCAGAAGTGCAGGTAGAAAAGGGAGGGCAAGGATGGCTGGAGTAGTGCCCGTCGATTTTTCTTGTTCGCTCACGACAGCAGTTCGATATGGGAGCGCCAGGCTGTGTCTTAGTTGTTCTAAAGCAACTGATCATTATCTTTCTTAGCCCTTAGCTGCAGATTTAGGCCTTCCAGAGCATGTTGTGATTAGTTAGCGGCGTTTCAATGTTGGATTCTGTTGTTTAAGATGGACCACGTTCCTATTGGATCGGCGCAGAAATATTGCGTAGCCATGTCCAGCATGCACTGCAATGGGTAACATAGTCGGTTCCTGATTGCCAACCTGTGGCATGGGTGTGAGTTGAGAGCCGTTTGTGTTGATCTGCGCAAGCCAATAGAAGAAGGCGCGGTTTTTGGGCATTCCAGGCATTGCCTATGTACTTATCAGATCTCAAAAGCATGGCTTTCAGAGGCATTTGCATACGCATCTGTATTAACATTAGGGTTCTGTCTCAGGCAGCATTCATCATGCATCAATCTTCTGTGACACTCAGCCGTCGTTCATAAGCTTGCAGAATCCTATCAGTTTCAGGTGTAAAGTGCGGGCATAGAGCCGGCGCTCTGAATCCTTTCCTGGTCACTAATGCACAGCGACTCATGATTGCTCAGATCTCCTTTCGCAGTAGAAGCAGCGATTCAGGGGCCCTGCAACCAGGAGTGAAGGATGGATAGCCTCATTGGTCTTGTGAATCGGCTCCAACGAGCATGCACAGCGCTGGGGGATTATGGAGGGGAGAGTGCAAATGCACTGCCAACGCTATGGGAAAGTCTTCCGTCTGTGGTGGTTTTGGGTGAGTTGAGCTGCACTTAGACGGTCAAAAGCTTTGGTCCCGGACTAGATTCTGCGGATTACTTGACTTGGCGATACTGTATCAGCAGTAGTATCAGAGCCGACTTGCACCCTGCTTGTGGAGTCAGCTGGCTGAGTGCCTCCTCATTCAATAGCAGCTAGCAGGACAAGCTTCGTGACTTTCTCGGGGCTTCCGGCAGCTCTATGAAGCTGTCTTTGCGGGCTAATCGAAGCGAGAACTGAATCCTCCCCACCTGTCATTTTGCAGGTGGTCAAAGTTCGGGAAAGTCATCGGTCCTGGAGAGCATTGTTGGCAGGGATTTCCTTCCCCGTGGTTCAGGTAAGGAAGGACCTCTGCTTTGTCTGTCTCTGTTGCTTTGATTGGTGTCAGCAGCTAGAGGGTGTGGTTCTCGTGGACTCTCTCGGAGGATAGCTTCACTTGCATGGCATGTAAGTCCACCGCGGAAAAGGAGTACGTCCCCTTCTGCTGGCTGCAATTCCGCCCAATACAGTAATGGCTGTCAACAAAGCAGACTCAGCTTTTGCGCCGCTCATGCAAGGAAGTCGCAGGTTCCATTCCTTGAGCAGGAATTGTTCCAGAGCATGAAAGGGGGTTCGCACCATGGACGCTTTCCAAACAGATTATAATCCTGGCTATCCAAGTCATCAGAAGAAGCCTCACATCTCATACGAATGTCTTGCATAGGCATTGTCACGAGGAGGCCCCTCGTGCTGCAGCTGCATAAGACGGAGTCGGAGGATGGGGCCTCAGCTCAGGAGTATGCAGAGTTCATGCATGCCCCGAGGAAGCGGTTTACTGATTACGGTGAGTCCGATGTCTTTAGCGTCTCAGTGTCTCTGCTTTCAGCTCGCTATGGTAGGGCATCTGGTCCGGAAACGGACACGCTACCAGTGCTTTGGAATTTGGGTCTCACCTGGAGCAAGCTTGAGAGTTTGTGGTATCCAAGTGTCAGTCAGGCAACGGGTGATTGAGCAGGACAGTTTGGTGGGGCTTCACGTTTTCATGCCAAATTAGAAGAGATCCAGTTGATTGATTACAGTGCAATTTGGGCATGCTCTTGCTCATTTTCGAGTTCGTGGCAGCACTGTAGCACCCATATCTCAGATAATCATCTTGTGCGCCTTTCTTCCTCACAGTTCCAGATCAGGAGCTCAGGAAGTAGGTGTATGACTTGGTTTCAGCTAGCTTGTAGAAGTTAGAAGCTCAGCGCTAAGGTGTATGACTTGGTTTTAGCTAGCTTGCAGTAGCTGCATCAATTCATTGCTCGTTTGGTGATCGCTGTGTGAGAAAAAAACAGCGTTGGGTGGATAAGAGGGTGCTGACGAGCTGTCTCGTTGTCTGGCAACAGCGGCTGTTCGTAAGGAGATCGAGGACGAGACGGCGAGAGTGACAGGCCCTGGGCGTAACGTCTCCCCTGTTCCCATCCACCTCTCAATATACTCACCCAATGGTAAGGCCCCAGCACCAACAATCAAGGAGACAAGGCCCTTTTATCTCTAGACTCTATCTTTCTGCTTGTGGGGCTCCAGGTCTCTAAATGCTTTGAAGCTGGAATTCAAAGCCTGGTGTTATGTGAGGTGGTTCTTGTCGCTTGATATGCATGAACGCTCTCTCATTTGCAATCCTGACGATGTCCATCATTGCATGCAGTTGTGAACCTGACGCTGATGGACCTGCCCGGGCTCACAAAAAACGCCGTCGGTGAGCAGGAACCCTCCATTGAGCCAGCCATGTGCTTGAATGTCGGAATGGATTGCCTTCTCATCAATCCAGCAAAGAGACTGCGACTGGTTGTGAGCCTTATGCGTAACTTCCAGTGAGGAGTGCTTACCTTTAAGTAGCCCCCTTCAAAACCCTCGTGGCTGTTAGACTGCAGTACCATCTTTGGCAAGTCGCCAATTTTCGAGCTCCGGCGATGAAACTGGAAGCCGCCAGCTGGAAGATCGAACGATTTACGCTGTTCGAGGCAAAAAGTGCCTAGACCCAAAAAAACTCGTTAGCACGATAACCATGGCGGCTTTGTTCACGTTCTTCTTCCAATTTGCTTCAACTGGTGTGAGTCTAAATGATGGAAGACCTCCCTTTGATCTGCTTTGAGGTCTTCCAACAAGAAAAAGGCTGACAAAGAAAGCAAGCGTGAAAGTTATGAAAAAACGTTATAACTTTGTGCACGCATGCCCAGGTTTCGTCTGTGGTTTAATTCTTAACTGACCTGCCAAAGATGGGACCCGGGTATTTACAGCCACGAGACCTTTGAGAAAGATACTCAACCTTTCTTTCGCTGCTTCAAACTCTTAATCGGTGAGTATGCACTTGTCAAAGGCGCCGTCAAGAACTTCCTTACAAGGGAATCGTTGTTCTTGCAGATGGCCAACCAGAGAGCATCGTTACTGAAATCGAGGCCATGGTCCGGTCCTATGTTGAAAAGGTAGGATCCATAGCAACGCCTTCCTCCTTTTCAATGACTCAGGACCTTGAAGGTGCAGCTGGTGCTCTGGTTGTTAATGGACGGTGCAGAAAGGTTGTACATACACGAATCAGACAACCGATCATACCTCTCGTCAATATGGCTCTGGCACTCCCCCCGTCCGTTAGGCAGGGCTTCAACATCGATAGTCACTTAGTGCAGAACAAGAAAGGGTATTACTTTCTAATGCCTTCCGTAGTGTGCTGCATCGAGGTCCACATATTCGTAATCGAGTGTCGCCCTGAGATTTGCAGCCAGTGTGACAAGTCATTGGTAGATTCTACATCAAGGCAGTCGTCTATTGCTCATCTGAGGCATATTCTGTTTGTACCTCAGAGGCAATGATTCGCAAGGTGTGACGTCATCCCACTTCCCGTGTGCAGCCCAACTCGATCATCCTGGCCATCTCCCCAGCCAATCAGGACATTGCCACGTCGGATGCGATCAAGATGGCTCGCGAGGTGGACCCAACTGGAGAGAGGACGTGGGGAGTGCTCACCAAACTGGATCTGATGGACAAGGGAACCAATGCGCTCGATGTGAGCTGTCTCGTTTTTTGTATGCTCGCACACTGCTCAATTTCTGCACCGGTTGAGATGCGAAGGCCATCTTTCTGACCGAGGGTTTGACGACGATCACTGAGAGTGTCGATTGCAAGAATTGGGCTAGGGAGAAGGTGATTCGAGCTTAACTCCAAGGTTGTTATTTCGATCTGGCCGACTGTGAGCTTCCTCCTCGATTCTCATTCTTTTCAGACCAAAAGGTTCTGATATTTGTCCTTTTGGGTGTCTGTTCGACAAAGCACTTCCCTTTACTATCCATACATGTCTCTCGGGTTTCTTTGGCCAACCTTCTCCTTTTTGGTAAAGTGGTCGAAGCACGCTTCTTTCGGACGAACGTTTCCTTACGTTGGATGGTGGTCTCATGACGTGGTGGTTTATGGACGTGCACATGCTGGAGGGCTGGTCATACCGCCTGCAGCCAACTTGGTTTCTCTCCGCCTGACTGGAACTTAAAAAGTTTATTGTTTTCCAACGAGCGTCTTTGATTGTCGGCCGGACTGGTTGTTTGTGGACATGCTCAGGTGCTGGAGGGGCGGTCGTACCAACTGCAGCACCCTTGGACTTTCTCCGCCTGAACGAGAATCTCAGGCTTTATCTTCTTTTTCGACAAGCTTTTTTGATGTCCTGCCGGACTTCTCCTAACTGGATACCTACGGACCCTCACAGGTGCTGGAGGGTCGGTCGTACCGGCTGCAGCACCCGTGGATCGGCGTCGTGAACCGCTCGCAGCAGGACATCAACAAGAACACGGACATGATGAGCGCGCGCCGCCGCGAGCGCGAGTTCTTTTCGAGCAGCCCCGAGTACTCGCACCTCAGCTCGCGCATGGGCAGCGAGTACCTCGCCAAGCAGCTCAGCAAGGTGGGGCGCCGCTTGCAAAGGCACTCCGGACTTTGAAGCGTCCCAACTGCTTAGAAGAGGCATCTTTTGTGCCCTCATAGATACAGAGCCTTGAAGTAAGGCAAAGCTTGACAGGTTCGATCCGCCGCTGCTTCATTGCAAACCGGATCCCAGGCTGGTTCGCTTACTACAGCTGTTTGCGTCAAGATTGCCATCGGGTTTCCCATGTTCCGAGCATGGTTCCTGATATAGACCCGTTCGATGCTTGCCTTGACGTCGATCGGACGGTTTTGAAACCCGATGGCAGGTTTGACGCAAACAGCTGTGTTGCTGAAGCCTATTCTCGCTGAATCCGTCTAACACGCCCCTCGCTTCCCCCCAGTACCTGGAGCAAGTCATCAAGTCGCGCATCCCTGGCATCCAGTCGCTCACAGCTCGAGCATTGACAACTTCAAGTCCGCCAGACATTTCAGAGAAATCTCGCATCATCCCTACTCATGAAAAAGGTCCAAAATAATCACTCCGTCTCCTCTTACTAAAACGCCTCTCGCCGTTCCTCAGTACCTGGAGCAAGTGATCAAGTCGCGCATCCCGGGCATCCAGTCGCTCATCAACTCCAGCGTCGACAACCTCCTATCCGAGCTGGATACCCGCAACACTCCTACTTGACAGAAGTTTCGAAATCACTCCGTCTCCTCTTACTAAAACGCCCCTGGTTCCTCCGCAGTACTTGGAGCAAGTCATCAAGTCGCGCATCCCCGGCATCCAGTCGCTCATCAACTCCAGCATCGACAACCTCGAGTCCGAGCTGGACACGCTGGGCCGCCCCATCGCAGGCGACGCGGGCGCGCAGCTCTACTCCATCCTGGAGCTGTGCCGGGCGTTCGACCACGTCTTTAAGAGCCACTTGGACGGAGGGTGAGGCTCAGCTATTGCAAAGTCTTGCTTTTGTTGCTGGCCATACTCTGCGGTTTCCGGCTACACTGCAAAGCCGATGCAATTTCAGTTTCAGGCGCGCCGCCATCTTTTTGAAGTCCGTTAGTAGGTGGTTGCATCTGTAGACTGCGGGAATCACCACCTCGTCCTCCAAAAGTCAGACACGTCCGTCCGCGTTTCCTCGACCTACTCTTTGATACAGAGCTTCTCAAGAACCTTTTCCTACATCTCCCCCCTCATTCCCCGGTGGTCAGATTACGAGCCTTCGAGTATCTGTTGTTTCAAAATCACAAAATACGGCCCGCTCAATATCTGTCTCGTCTTTCCTTTGACTGTTCTCAGCGAGGTAAAGAAGGAACAGTTCTTAGCCGCCAGATCTAAGCCTCATTATGACTTTCTCTTCGTCACTGACCCCCTCGTCCCCCTGCTCGCAGCCGCACCGGCGGTGAGCGCGTCTACCAGACGTTCGACCAGAAGCTGCCCGCGGCGCTGAAGCGGCTGCCGTTCGACAAGCACCTGTCGATGCAGAACGTGCGCAAGATCGTGGCCGAGGCCGACGGCTACCAGCCGCATCTCATCGCGCCCGAGCAGGGGTACCGCCGCCTCATCGAGAGCGCGCTCGTGCTGCTGCGGGGGCCCGCGGAAGCCGTCGTCGACGAGGTGATTAGCTCCTCAATCATTAATGATGATTGCAAGGTCTTAAGTTCCACTTTTTGGTCTTAGCTTGGTTCTTGTTACAAGTTGAGCCTCGCTTAAGTAGTCGAGAAAGATTTGACGAGGTGGGGGCTGATCTGCTGGACGATGTTAGGAGGCTGCTATGTGCTTTTTTGGTGGTTAGTCCTAGACGTCTCCATATGAAGGGTATGAATCCGTCGATTGTGCTGTGGCGAAGCTTTTGAGGAGACGCCGTTTGTTGCACGGTGGTGGCATGCAGTGCGCTTATCCTGTCAGAGGGCTGATATTCTGCTTCGATGAAGTGGACCTGATGGCTTCCCCTGCCAGAGGTCCGGAATTATTGACTGGCCTTCGTTTCCGAACTCTTGGAACCGTAATCCACCGAAAAAACAGCAACAGCTGTTAAAACCGCTCTGCAAAAGGGCGTCAATAGCTGTAACCTTCCTTATCTTTTGAAAATCGAGAAAGTCCCCTGGACCGCCAATGAGGAAGGAGAGACCGCTTAGGCCAGCTGGTACCGAGCCTTGCTTGTTTTCTCAGGTGCACTTCGTGTTGCGCGACCTGATCCGCCAGTCCATCAACGAGACGGTGGAGCTGAAGCGCTTCCCGACGCTGCAAGCCGAGATTGCGGCCGCGGCCACGCGGGCGCTCGAGGCGTTCCGGGACGACAGCAAGAAGCTGGCCACCAGACTAGTGGACATGGAGGTGAGAACAGTTTTTCGGTTGGTTTTGATTGAGACATAGATAACCGAACAACTTAAAGAGTGTCACTTGTTTGACTCTTGGGGTTTGTTGATTACCCCCTATTTGCAACCTAACCACTGGAGGAGATTAAGAGAGCAGGACAACTTCTGCTCAACAACAGTTTCTTCTGAATCTGTTCCTTACACTTCGGCTCGGGGCTTTCCGGGACGACAGCAAGAAGCTGGCCACCAGACTATTGGACGCACAGGGGCGCTTTCCTTGGGGTCTTCTTTTCAACGACTCTCTTGGATAGGCTATATTGGATTTACAACGGATGTCTACCTCGTCCAGGACCTAAGAGCTCCTTCTTTAGATAGAGCATTGGTGTATTGGATGATGAGATTCCTGTACAGTGCCTTCCGTCGGAAGCTTGCGAAGCGCTTGCATAAGGTTTTTCATGTCCTTGTCTCGGTCACTCGAAACAGATGTTCATTTTTAAACTCCTCGTTCTTCTACTCGCAGGCGAGCTACTTGACGGTGGAGTTCTTCCGCAACCTGCCCGTCCAGGCCGCGGCCCCGGAGCCGGAAGTCAAGGGGACCACGGCTCGGGTCAAGAACGCGCTGGGCATTGACCGGTACACCGACAACTCCCTGCGGACGATTGGTGAGCTGCCAGTGGAGATTCGTTACTGATTCTGAAGCGGCCAATGAAGCGGAGTGACAGTGTGGGCCGAGTCTCTCTCAGAAGTTCTCTGCTGGCAGGATGTGTGCCGGCAGTGTCGAGCGTGCCCCTCTGCTTTGCTCTTGGCATGGACCGCGTGATTTGCAGTTTTGTTTTAGAATGCCGCTAAAGCATGACCGGGGCTGAGAGTCCCACGCGTCAATTGATCTTTCCCCTTTGAGACGACGAAAAAGTCGCTTGCAGGCCTTATTTGCTAAGCAGACAAGCTTGCGGCCCGTTATATCGACCTCCGTTTGACCTCCGTGAGGCTTATTGCTTGCTTTATAAATTGTTTTCTTACAGTTATGAGAGTCCCTGAGACCGCACAATCTGCTTTTTACCTGTGTTGGCAGAAGCGGTTTCGCCTCTGCAAGCGATGTGATGGGTCACTTTTCAAGCTTTGAGGTCGCTAAGCACCATATCTTACTATGCCCCTCGTTCTCCCGAGATGTGTTCGAATCCCGTTACTTGACTCGGGTTTGATGTTTCGACTCCTGCAGAAGAACGCAATGACCTTCTGAATATCCGGATGCCTGCAACACTAGAATGCTGCAGTGTGTACTTTCCAGTCAGCCCACATCCGAAAATCTTCAACTTATTCAATTCTCACGCTTCAATCCGTCCCTGATTTCCAGGCTCGAACGTGTCGGCGTACATCAACATGGTCTGCGACAATCTGAAGAACTCGATCCCCAAGGCCGTGGCCCACTGTCAAGTGCGCGAGGCCAAGCGCTCCCTCCTCGACGGCTTCTACACCAACGTCGGCGGGCGGGATGTAAGCGATCTCTTCTGCTGCCGTGCTTGCTGCTTTTCGTCATGCTGGACCGGCTCGTTGTAATGTGTTAAAAAAGTGTCTACCCCATGTGCCTCGCGGTGGCATCTAAACGATGGGCATCGACTGCCCATAGGTGCAGAATAAGCCCACGTGGTTTTGCAAGCGGCTGCGAAAGTCCAATCGCGGGTTTCTGGTCGCGGAGTGGGACATGTCCCACCACGTCCTTATGAATTTTGTCTATGATGTATATATTGATCAAGCAAGCTTTCTACCGGGCTCAAAGAAGATCTGGCCGGATATTGTGGGGTTCACATCCTTTGGTATGCATGATCGTTTATGCTTGGTGCACTAAAACACCATATCGTTGCGATGAAGCAGGAGTGATGTTTTATTCTACCTTGTGGAGGCAGGTTCTTACTCCCCAAGGATGCAGGGATGTGACACTATTCTCTTGCTTCTGTCGCTTCCTGCAGAGTAAAGAACTAGGCCGGCTTTTGGACGAAGACCCGACCTTGATGAGCAGGAGAAAGGCGGCCGGCCAACGTTTGGATCTCTTGAAGCGCGCTCGGGACGAGATTGATGCAGTCGGTTGGGGCAAGTAGACTGTAGCCAGCAGTCGATGTTCTGAACATGAGGGCACCATTTTCCAGATTGAATCGTCCTACTCAGGCAGACTAGTGAACCGTGTGCATTGAAGTTTCTGTAAGCTTTGCCGGCAATGAAAATCAGTCCTGTGGCCTCCCTACTTGCTCAAAGGTAAGATGACCTGAGTGGCTTGTCTTGCATATTGGTATTTGACCGAGCACTTGGAAAGGGTCATTTGAGCATCAGTTGTCCTTAGTAAGATGAGCCATGTGCACTTGTCTTTACAAGATCGTTCAAAGTTGACACGAATTGTGGAAGCAACCGTGGGATAGTTAGATAACGCCTCATGTCTACCAATGTTGTGTCAGGCTCGATCGAGCATATTAAATCAACAAGCTGCACATATTTCATCCGGGCACAAGCCCGGAACCCCAGTCCTCCGGAACCCGGATATATTGAAGTTCTATTTCTATCGCATCCACTGCATCATATGTGGTATGATGGCATGGTGTCGTGTCTGCAGCCATGGCCAATTTGATGTTGGAGATTGAGCATGTGTCTGGTCGCAGTGACTCTGGTTTAGTAGGCTCACGTTGAGCTGCATACCGTATCTCCTGGCAGATTATGTGACCCCTTTTTCGTTTGAGATAATGATCGATCAAATACGTTGCATGCATAGAAGTGGTCGGCGACGGTCAATCTGCGCTTGCAGCACGATACTTGGGCGCGTTCCGCGGCGCCTTATACAAAGGATCGGTGGCGCCCGGCGCCTGAGCTGCGCATGACAATTCCTTTGCAGCGATCGCCGAGCTGAGCCTTGACACAAGTTGAGGCCGCCTATCATGCCCTATGCAGCAAGGATTTAAGGCCTCAGGGATTGGAATTGGCCCTGATTTGCGTGGCATTGCACTGAGCCTTCTAGCGGCGATGCGCAGCGCGCGCGCCGCCCGCCCGCCCCAAAGGCGGGCCCGCGCCGCGGCCGGGCGCGCGCGCAGCGGCCACCCCGGCCTTAGAAGTTATAGTCCCATAACGCCTGGCTGGCATGCATTCAAATTGCGAACTCAGATGACGGCACAGTTTAGAAATAGTAAGCCGTAGGAATAGTATTAGCTCAAACCT